CCGGTAAGTCCTTTTTTTAAAAAAAAAAATTCTGTGTGGGTTTTGGAGAGTGGGTTTGGACTGGGGGGGTTATGTTTGTGGTTTGTGTGTGTGTGTGCGTGTTTGCGGCATTTTCGCTGCGGGCGCTTCAGAGTGGCCGTGGGGGAAAATGGCCGCCGCAACCATTTTCGCATGCTGCCCTCGCTTACCAAGGCGGCGAAAATGGCGGCCGGATGGAGGATTCCCGCTTAGCGGTACGTTTTCCCCCATAGGAACGCATTAAACAAAGTTTAATGCATTCGTATGGGGTTTTTCCATCCTTATAGTGATGTTTCCGGATAGGGACGATTAATCCGGAATGGATTAACGTCGCTATGCGGGGTACCACTGTAGTTGATTTCAGATACTATATTCACTTGAAAAAAACTGAACATACCAAATATCTGAGAGGTAGCTATTACTGTTCAGATGCCTCTAATTTGTGTCTTCCAGGATGTGCATTATCTCTTTTTGTGATATACTTTTGATATTTTTCTTTGTAAAAGTGATCTACTTTTAAAACTATGTTTAAATTACTACTTGTTGCATGTAAGGTGTTCTAGGGAAACCATTTTTGGGTTGAAGGAAGCAGTTACAACTGCAACATTTAAATTGCTTAATTTTTTTTACTATAAATAAGATTTCTGATATTCTATCCATTACTGAGTAAATATTTTAGTTCATAACAGACTTAACCCTTAGACAACCTGAAATTCATCTTAATATTTTAATAGTTACTGTATAAATGCATGTTTTCTTCCTGAACGTTTTATCTAGGACAAAACCAGTTATACTTCCTCATGAATTCCTATTTTTCGTCTTTGTCTTTCTTAGGTGGCTGAATCACTAGGAATTACTGACAGTTGTATTAAAACACAGCAGATCCACACAAACTCGATGTCTGCATGTATTAATACTACTTTTGAGCATGTATTTACAGAGATTTCAGGACGGAAGCGAGCAACTGAGGTATAAAACAGTAATTATACTGTATTAGGAATGTATAGATTTTGCAACATAATGAATTTTCTGTTAATTCTTTTTGATGGCTCTCTTCCAAAACTGGGTTTTGCCAATGTCAGCATCAACAGTATTCTTCATTAGCTGAAGTCGTGTTCTTCTTGGCATAACTTTATGCCATATTGCCTGCTAGGCATTACGTCCAGGAAGTTCAGACTGTGCAATTAACAGTGCACAAGTTTTGTTTTGTTTTTTAAAAGAGGAAAGGAGACAAGCAAGCAGAATGAAAGAGCAGGAGCTGGGATTCTTAGGCGATCTGGCAGCTGAGCCAGGAAGAATTGGGACAGAAAGGACCTGTGCAACAAGATTTCAAGCATGAACCTGGTTTCACGTTGCAGTTGCTTATTCTGCTTTTATATAGAACCAGTCTTTACCATATTAAAGCATCTTCTCTGATTAGCATTTTCTGTTATTCCTGATACTGCCACAATTACTATACTTAAAGCTAATAGTACACCATTTTTTCAAAGTTTGAGTTATATGGATTATTCATTTTGGATTTGCATGTAGCATAAAGTCCTGTCAAATGAAACTACCCTGTTTCCCTGAAAATAATACTTAACCTGAAAATAAACCCTAGTATGATTTTTCAGGATGCTCGTAATATAAGCCCTACCCCCAAAATAAGCCCCACTTAAGTGAAACCCTGCCCTCCACCGTTTTGCAGCAACCAGAAGAAGATGGATTATTCATTTTGGATTTGCATGTAGCATAAAGTCCTGTCAAATGAAACTACCCTGTTTCCCTGAAAATAATACTTAACCTGAAAATAAACCCTAGTATGATTTTTCAGGATGCTCGTAATATAAGCCCTACCCCCAAAATAAGCCCCACTTAAGTGAAACTCTGCCCTCCACCGTTTTGCAGCCACCAGAAGAAGATGACACGACTGGATTTGAATAAATGTAGATTGTTGTACATGAAAAAAATAAAACATCCCCTGAAAATAAGCCCTAATGTGTTTTTGGAGCAGGAATTTATATAAGACCCTGTCTTATTTTCAGGGAAACACTATGTAGTAGAGTTATTTTTGACTTGTTGAGATCCTCTGGTTTTATAATTATATGGAAGTTCTTCAGGAACATTTTTCTGAGTATGCATTTCCTTTGTTAGTCATTGAACAAATACATCAATTAAATAAACTGATTTTTTCCCCTATCTCTGTTGACAGAATTCAGATGAAATGTTGCCAGTTGCCAAAAAGACCACAGTGGGAAATTTGCTGGAAAATATTGATTATTCAAAGCATGGTGGAATGAAAGAAGGAATTCATCCACATCAAGGTGGTACCTGCATTCTCTAATCTCCATTCAGCCTTGAATATATAAAATGATACACAAATAATTGAAAAGAGGGAAGGATAACATAATGTTTAAAATTCTACAATGTACTTCTTGTAGTAATGTTGAGTGGAGGAAAAGAAAAGCTTCTTTAAAATATAATGGTAGCTCAGTTTTTGGAGCACCTTGGTTAGTGGAGGAAAAGAAAAGCTTCTTTAAAATACTGTATGATGGTAGCTCAGTGGTTGGAGCACCTTGGTTGTGAAATCACAGGCCAGAAATTTAAAGCACCCATTAGGTGTGTGGATGATGGGATTATGTGTCTTACTATATATGCAGTTTTAGGCAAGTGCATGATCCCAGACCACAGCCAGAAGGATGAAGTTGGAATCCACTTCTAAGTGTTTTATACTTAGGAAATCCTGGAAGAGGTGCTATAAATCAGAAATGACATGGTGGTACACAACTGTAATTAAGAATTTCTTACATATTTGCTACTGTTTGTGCTATCACAAACAGTTCTGTTGGGTAAGCTAGGCAATGTGGTCCTGATTGGCCCAGAAACATTTATGTTGAATCAGGAATACCCAGAAACATTTATGTTGAATATAGTCCTCTAAAATCTGGTGTATTTTTCTCATGGTTTCCATCAAATCTGTTGATCCTTGAAAAATAACTAGACTGCTGCTGCTGTAATTTAAGCACATAATTTCTGGAATAACAATATTTTAAACAGATAAGCAGTTCTTTGCAAGATTGCATTTTTTTGTTGCTGATTTGCCTAAATAGAGAAAAAATTACAAGTAATAAACCTGCAGATTAACCTAGGCATGAGATACTGGCTGCAGGAATAAAAATATGCTCATAAAATGTTTTTCTTTAGTAATCATAATAGAGGAGATCTACTGCAGTTATATTTTAATTGCTATATTGATGCTTGTTTTTTAAAAACATACCTGGTCTAGGGCTTTTAATATGGGGAGACACAATTACCTGAGGAGAAAGCTATGTGAGCATTGGTAAACACATTTTAATGGTAGTGGTGAAATGTTGTGTTTCGGGTCCAGTTGCTATATATGCCATGCTGCACATGATAGTAGTTCCTCTTCCTTTATCTCTGCTGCTGTCATCTGTGGTGGTCTGATGGCTCTTTTTCCTCATTATTATTTGCTGTTTCTTGTTACTTCTTCCAACCAGTAAATATTGGCTATGCTGTGCTTCTGCTTTTATTTATTTATTTTATTTAAAGTGTTTTTATCTTGCCTTTCTCCTTAAAAAGAAGCTTAGACAGGTTTGGCTAAGAAGAGGGCAACTGGGCTATTAACTCATTTAGAACTGTTACTGCTTGCTCAGTCAGCCAGGTAGGAGTAGCTACTGCCAGCTGACCACATCTGGTTGCTTGTTTGCATAAGCATACCACAGCTGTGGTTAGGAATAGAGGCCATCTCCACTTGCCTTTTGAATCTTGGAAGGGAAGGTGCTGCTACCATAAAGCTGGATGAGGAAGGGAAAGAAGGAGGCTTAATTTCTCCTATACTCCAGACAGGGGGCACATGCTTGTAATGACAGATGATCAAGTAACAGCGGTGGGCAGTGTTGGTGTCTCATACTTGCCTGATATCTTCTGTCAGTCTGAGTAGGCTGCTTTTGAACAGTCACTTCTATATTAAAAGCAGTACTGTATACTTTACATATCCAAGGTGGCTCCAGGCATCTAGTATGCTGTTGAATTATTCTATAAATCCTTACATCTATTGGGAGGAAAATTGTGCTGTCATGTACATATCGTACCGTATGACAAGAATAAATATAGAGGTCATATGTGCCTTATTTAGAAATGGGGGTACAATGGTGCCTCGCTTGACGACGTTAATTCATTCCAGCGAAATCGCTGTAGAGCGAAAACGTCAAACGAAATAAAAAATATAGAAACATATTGAAAACCATTCAATGCGTTCCAATGGGCTGAATACCTGCTCGTCCAGCGAAGATCCTCCATACGGCGGCCATTTTCAGTGCCTGTAAAGCGAGAAATCTGTCCTAGAAAACAGCAGGGAGCCATTTTCTTCAGCCAGCGGTCGTTTTGAAACCCGACGATCAGCAGGGAACCAATCATTGCAGAGCGGAAAAACCCCATTTAAACCATCGTTTTGCGATAGCAAAAACCTAATTGTAAAGCGATTTCCTCGTTAAGCGAAACAATAGTTAAGCGAGGCACCACTGTATTTGTATACAGATACCCACACACAGCTAGATGTAATGAGGAACCAGCCCCCTGGAGCTGGACCATCCACTCACATGTTCTCTGCTGCCGCCAGCTCCGCTCCCCCTTCCAGTTGCTCTGGACCTTGAGGTTAGCTATCTGCTTGTCAGCCTGGCAGGGAGACTTGTCTTCCCTCCTTCTGCCAGGAGTGGATAGTCGACTGTGAGCTCCGGAGCGATTAGAAGGGAGAGCGGAGCCAGCGGCAGCAGCGGACGGGCGAGTGGGCATAATTCTTGTTATATCCAGCTGTGTGGTGGTATTCGTATATGAATACAAATATACCCATCTCTAGTCGTATTTACTAATTTTAAAATAAAACAGTTCTGTTGGGTAAGCTAGGCAATGTGGTCCTGATTGGCCCAGAAACATTTATGTTGAATCAGGAATACCCAGAAACATTTATGTTGAATATAGTCCTCTAAAATCTGGTGTATTTTTCTCATGGTTTCCATCAAATCTGTTGATCCTTGAAAAATAACTAGACTGCTGCTGCTGTAATTTAAGCACATAATTTCTGGAATAACAATATTTTAAACAGATAAGCAGTTCTTTGCAAGATTGCATTTTTTTGTTGCTGATTTGCCTAAATAGAGAAAAAATTACAAGTAATAAACCTGCAGATTAACCTAGGCATGAGATACTGGCTGCAGGAATAAAAATATGCTCATAAAATGTTTTTCTTTAGTAATCATAATAGAGGAGATCTACTACAGTTGTATTTTAATTGCTATATTGTTGCTTGTTTTTTAAAAACATACCTGGTCTAGGGGTTTTAATATGGGGAGACACAATTACCTGAGGAGAAAGCTATGTGAGCATTGGTAAACACATTTTAATGGTAGTGGTGAAATGTTGTGTTTCGGGTCCAGTTACTATATATGCCATACTGCACATGATAGTAGTTCCTCTTCTTTTATCTCTGCTGTTGTCCTCTCTGGTGGTCTGATGGCTCCTCTTTTTCCTCTTTACTATTTGCTATTTCTTGTTACTTATTCCAGCCAGTAAATATTGGCTATGCTGTGTTTCTGCTTTTATTTATTTATTTATTTATTTATTTAAAGTATTTTTATCTTGCCTTTCTCCTTAAAAAGAAGCCTAGGCAGGTTTGGCTAAGAAGAGGGCAACTGGGCTATTAACTCATTTAGAACTGTTACTGCTTGCTCAGTCAGCCAGGTAGGAGTAGCTACTGCCAGCTGACCACGCCTGGTTGCTTGTTTGCATAAGCATACCACAGCTGTGGTTAGGAATAGAGGCCATCTCCACTTGCCTTTTGAATCTTGGAAGGGAAGGGAAGGAACTGCTACCATAAAGCTGGATGAGGAAGGGAAAGAAGGAGGCTTAATTTCTCCTATACTCCAGACAGGGGGCACATGCTTGTAATGACAGCTGATCAAGTAACAGCGGTGGGCAGTGTAGGTGTCTCAGACTTGCCTGATATCTTCTGCAGTCTGAGTAGGCTGCTTTTGAACAGTCACTTCTATATTAAAAGCAGTACTGTATACTTTACATATCCAAGGTGGCTCCAGGCATCTAGTATGCTGTTGAATTATTTTATAAATCCCTACATCTATTGGGAGGAAAATTGTGTTGTCATGTACATATCGTACCGTATGACAAGAATAAATATAGAGGTCATATGTGCCTTATTTAGAAATGGGGGTACAGTGGTGCCTCGCTTGACGACGTTAATTCATTCCACCGAAATCGCTGTAGAGCGACAACGTCAACTGAAATTAAAAAACCTTTGAAACGTATTGAAAACAATTCAATGCATTCCAGTGGGCTGAATACCTGCTCGTCCAGCGAAGATCCTCCATACGGCGGCCATTTTCAGTGTCTGTAAAGCGAGAAATCTGTCTAGAAAACAGCAGGGGGCCATTTTCTTCAGCCAGCGGCCATTTTGAAACCCGCCGATCAGCAGGGGACCAACCATCGCAAAGCGGAAAAACCCTATTTAAACCATCGTTTTGCGATCGCAAAAACCTAATTGTACAGCGATTTCCTCGTTAAGCGAGACACTGTACTTGTATACAGATACCCCCACACAGCTAGACATAATGAGGAGCCAGCCCTCTGGAGCTGGACCATCCACTCACATGTTCTCTGCTGCCGCCAGCTCCGCTCCCCTTCCAGTTGCTCTGGACCTTGAGGTTAGCTATCTGCTTGTCAGCCTGACAGGGAGACTTGTCTTCCCTCCTTCTGCCAGGAGTGGATAGTCGACTGTGAGCTCCGGAGCGATTAGAAGGGAGAGCGGAGCCAGCGGCAGCAGTGGACGGGCGACTGGGCATAATCCTTGTTATATCCAGCTGTGTGGCGCTCCGCTCCCCTTCCAGTTGCTCTGGACCTTGAGGTTAGCTATCTGCTTGTCAGCCTGACAGGGAGACTTGTCTTCCCTCCTTCTGCCAGGAGTGGATAGTCGACTGTGAGCTCCGGAGCGATTAGAAGGGAGAGCGGAGCCAGCGGCAGCAGTGGACGGGCGACTGGGCATAATCCTTGTTATATCCAGCTGTGTGGCGGTATTCGTATATGAATACAAATATACCCATCTCTAGTCTTACTTACTAATTTTAAAATGAAGAGCAGAGAATTACTGGTTGTTAATCTTCTTAACCTTTGTTACTCAGATGTTTTTGGACTGCAACTCCCAGAAGCCTTCACCATCAGCTCTGCTGGCTGAGGTTTCTGGGAGTTGCAGTTCAAAAACACCTGAGTAACAAAGGTTAAGAACCACTGTTCTAAATAACCCTGCCTGAGATGCAAAGTTTGAATAAAAAGTGAAGCTGTCCCCTACAACAGCTTGCTCTACTACCCCCACCCAACATTCTTAAAAAACTGGAGATTCTCACACATTTTTTCCAACTATATCAATGCTAAATGCATCATAATGGCCAGGAATTTTTATGTGTAACCAAACTACAAGTTTTGATAGATCAGTCCTACAGCTTAGTTTCAGACTTAAACCAAATTTTGTACAAATAGTAATAACCAGTGTCCCATAGTAATGTGTTGTAACACAATAAATGACAAACCAACATATCCTGTGTGCCTGATCTTTTTAAAATAACGAATTTGCATCAAATGTGTATTTAACTAAACATATGGTTTTATTTAGGAGCAAACTCAACAATATATATCTGCCCTGGAAGTGCATTACTAGAAGAAGAGCATGAGTCCCTGGAACAAGAAATTGCATCTGATCAGATTGATCAAGATTTATATGACCAGTGCACACAAGTGACGCATGAAACTTTACAACCTTCAAGTAAATCAGGATTTGATTGTTCAGACTATCTTAACCTCATGGAGTGACACTCTCAGTTGACAGTGCAGCTAGTGTGAGGAAAAGCTTGTACAACTCCATTTGGAATACAGACAAAGTGACTCTGCATTCTGTAACTCTGTCCTGTTCAAAAATTATATAGTATTATGCACTGTATTGATACCCTGTTTTCCCAAAAATAAGACCTTACCTGAAAATACTGTAAGCCCTAATATGATTTTTCAGGATGCTCCTAATATAAACTCTACCCTAAAGATAAGTTAAGTGAAACCCTACCCTCCACCATTGTGCAGCAACTAGATGATATGATTCTATTTGAAAAAAATGTAGATTGTTGAACATGAAAAGAAAAGTAAAACATCCGCTAAAAATAAGCCCTAATGCATTTTTGGAGCAAAAATTAATATAAGACCATATCTTTTGGGAAAACACAATATATAAAGTTGCTGTTTCTGGTTACTTCTTCCATCCAGCTAACACTAGCTACACTTAGGAATATCCCAGTTGCTTCTGCTTTGGCTAGGAAGAGGGCAATTGGGCTATTAACTCATTTGCACCAGTTTTCATTGCTTGCTCTGTCAGCTGAGTAGAAACAGAAAGATCAGTACCTACTGTCAGCAGGCCACAGTCTGTTACTAAACACTGCTGGTTGCTTGCTTGCACAAGCACATTGCTTCATGTACCTTATCAGAACATGAAGAAAACAATGAAAAAAGGACATTGGGAGAAAAGGATTTCTATTAACAAAAATTCTGACCATCTGACATATCAAATTGTTTAAATACTGTAATTTTTAACACCAGGGGAGTAATTCATCCATTTCAAGATCACCTCAGATTAAAGTGGAACTACACAATGAGGGAAATGCACATTCATTTGCTGTGTAGTCACACCAGGGAATTCAAAACTATGATTCGAGTGGCCACACTTGAACTAAATTGCTGATATTGTTGAAAGAACTGCATTAATAGGCAATGAGACAGGCTTTTTCCTGTCTTGGTTGCTAGTTTCTGACATGGGGCATTGCCTTGTTAACTTGTTAAAATAGATAAAATAAAAAGAATATTGTCCAGGAGGAGCTCTTTTAAAAAAAGAAGAGTCTTAGGGGAGAGGCTTTGCTGGGCAGTGTACGCAATGAAGCAAGGGGGAAGTGCTTTGAGGGTGCATATGTTCACACCTTGTCCTCTCATTCATCCATTCAAGTGATCACATACTTGAGTTAATAAGAAAGGATTTGCAATTTTAAAAAGTAGAAAGTTCCCTGGTGGACAAAAGCTATGGATGCAGGGAGGGATCCAGGCTGATTTTCACTTGCCAGTGTGTTGTATGATCAATGGGAAAATGCAACTCAGCCAACCCCAAATTCATAATATTTTCCATAGTTTTTGGCAATGTGGTCACCCTCTGTTTTTCCTTTCCAAGCTTAAAAACCTTCCAGAGAACTCTTAACGGAAGGATTACAGTAGGTAATCCTGGATGAACTTGCTGGATAGAATACCAGAAGAAAAGAAGCTGGGGAATATATTAATGGGAAACCATGACTTATCGGTGAGGCAGAAACCTTTGTCATAAAAAACACTGGCTTAAATCTTTTGTGTTACTTTCACAAAAGTAACACAAAAAAAGTAATGATGTCACTAGCAGGGAGATTTTTAGTAATTAAAAGTCTTCAACTTCAGCTATGCATCTTTTGCAACACCTATGTAATTTTTTTCATTATCTGGAAGTAATGAGTGCCACAGGATGGAAAGAACAAGTAATTAATTAACCAAAATCTACCCTTGCTGGTAATGTCATCCAGTATTAGTAGTTTTCAGGAATTAAATACTTCATCCCTCCATCCTGCTGCTTCCAGGGATTATATGTGTGTCAGAAAAGCTGTGGGGCAAAAGTAGGAAGTTTTAATTTAACAAATATTGCTCCTTGCTGAGATTCTCACTCTTTCACAGGCATAGTTACACCAACAGGATGTCAGCTATTCATACCTTTATCATAGTGCTGCTGTTTTAATTGAGCTACCAAAAACTGATGCTGCTACTATGCAGATTTGCACTTGTTTCAAAACCTGGGCCACTCAAAAGAGCTCAGAATGAAATTAAGCTATTATAAAAGCATTCTGTAAAGGACCTCTTGAAATGTATATTTTTCTTAATAAATGTTGATTTATTAAATTTATTCATAGTTTTGTTGATTTCCTGGTACTTAAGCTGAAATGTTAACAGGTCTGAAGAGTAAATGTGTAGGTAACAGGAAGGTACTTCCCTAGCAACATGAAAACCACACTGAAAACCTCTGAAAAAATTATTGGTAATATATTATATGGCCTTTTGGCTAAATAAACTACTCTTTAAGATAACCACTGAGTTGGTAGAAAACATTAAGGTTGCACTGCAATTCTGTATAAGTTGAAAGACCTGAGTACCAGCCAGTAAGCTAACTTTTCTCCTGTTGAAGGCAAAAATAAAAATAATCATTCTGAAAGTAATAAAGCGCCTCATATTTCTAAATAGGAAGATGGGCAAGCTTTGATTCAAGGGACTGCAGTGTCTTAAATGTTGATGTGCCACTGCCATTTTTAATGTCCCGAACACATCACCAGCTCAAATATGGTGATCAGAGAACACAGTAGTATACTGCAACCAATTAGGCAGTTTATTTAAACCAGACAGTAACTTTGTTAAGATCATCCAAATATGTACAAAATTGGTAAAATTTTACAGATATATATAGAGCACAATGTTGCAAAGAATGCCAGAGAAAGATAAAGGATATATTGAAATCATAATGACTCTGACAAAGCAGATTTTTTAATTCTGCAGTACTGTCAGCCTTTTTCTTTTCTGTTCCCAATTATTTTATATTGAAGGGTCTTTGCAATGGTATTGGCTGTTCTTGGATTGTAAAATTATTTAAATCTGAAAGTAATTTAAGATACAGTAAGGTAAAGGTTCCCCTTGACATTTAGTCCAGTCATGTTCGACTCTAGGGCACAGTGCTCATTCCCGTCTCCAAGTTGTAGAGCCAGCGTTTGCCCGTAGACACTTTCCGTGGTCACATGGCCAGTGCGACTAAACACGGAACGCTGTTACCTTTCCACCAAGGTGGTACCTATCTACTTGCATTTCGAACTGCTAGGTTCGCAGGAGCTGGGACAAATGATGGGAACTCACTCCATTGCGTGGATTCAATCTTATGACTGTTGGTCTTCTGACCTTGCAGCACAGAGGCTTCTGCGGTTTAACTCGCAGCATCACCATGTCCCCACATAAGATACAGTAGGATACCATAAAGAGGGCTGACCGCCAAAGAATTGATGCTTTCCTCTTGTGGTACTGGAGGAGAGTCTTGAGAGTCCCCCTGGACTGCAAGGAGAACAAACCTATCCATTCTGAAGGAAATTAACTCTGAGTGCTCCCTGGAAGGACAGATCCTGAAGCTGAGGCTCCAATACTTTGACCATCTTATGAGAAGTCTCCCTGGAAAAGACCCTGATGTTGGGAAAGCGTGAAGGCAAGAGGAGAAGGGGACGACAGAGGATGAGATAGTTGGACAAAGTCATCGAAGCTACGAACATGAATTTGACCCAACTCCGGGAGGCAGTGGAAGACAGGAGGGCCCTCCCTGCATACTGAAAATTGCACATAATAGCGCTTGCGCTCTCACACACACAGTGAATGGTAAAAGGAAAAAAAATATTTTCACATGCATTACCAGAACTGGAAACTAGAGTGCACCAGAGACCACAGTATGTATTCTTCACTAACAAGTATTCATAGCAGTCCCTAGCTCCCACTAGGGGCCAGTTCTGATAATACATGTGAAAATCATTTTTTCCCTAAATTTTTTCAATATTTTTAATATCTTCAGACCATGGATAAGTGATTCAGTGGATACTGATCCCATGGATAAGGGGGTCTCATGGTATACAGTATTAGCAGGTATCTTGTTCAGAGCAACCTCTAAATTCACTTCGTCTCCCACATTTTATGTGCATGAATAGATGCCCTATTTAACTTTGTAGCAAATATACTTAGGGTTAAACATTCTAGACAGTTTGTAAGTGGGACGTGATCAAGTAGGTTTGTGACATAAAAAACAAAATGCATATATCTTTGACATGGCACACTGCAAAGCATGCTGCTTATGTACCACCCCGTAGCACTTAAAGCACTCTCTGGGTAGTTTACAAATTAATTACACAGGCTACACATTGCCCCGCCCCCAGCAAGCTGGGTACTCATTTTACTGCCCTCGGAAGGATAGAAGGCTGAGTCAACCTTGAGCGGGCTACTCAGGATAGAACCCTGGGTTGTGAGCACAGTTTTGGCTGCATTACAGCAGTTGCACCTCTGTGCCATGAAGCTCCTATACCTTGGACTATATCCTAAATACAAAAATTTTTTAGAAGACAGTAGAATTAATAACTCTCTATTTTAGAACTGCCTTTGCTACCTAAACCTTTTGCCAGACCAAAAGCTATGGGAAAGATTAAAGAAAAAAAATTAAGACGTAGATTTCTTTATTAAAAAGTACAAACAATATATTCATATATACATCCATATATATTATATGTTCATAGAACACTATTTTCTAGTTCAATGGAAGTGTTTAGACTGGTCTGTGTCCTGTTTCCAACAGCATACTTTCCAACAGGACTTTGCTGGTGTTCTCAATGTAGGGCTGGTACAACCATGATGACAAATAAACCATCAGAAGATCTTGATCAGTAGTATGAGCAATCTCTTGTACAATTGTTTGCTTGAGTTTTATTTCGTTTAAGTACATATCCAATAGTTTGACAGAAACATCATCTGAAATGGAAAAACAAACCAAGTAATACTTCTGCAATTGTGCCTTCTTTTATATCTTATTCGTGGGAAGTTATTTCTGTATGATTATACTATTATACAAATTGCCTGCCTAGGTTTCAAATCTATCAACGTTTCAGTGTCTAGTAAGTTTCTAAATCGGCAAATTTCTCCTGCTGTCCCTCCTTGGCCCCCAGTCTCTAAACAGGAGATCTTAGAACTTATTGCCTCCATAAAATCAGGGAAGCCTCTGGGACCAGAAGGGATCACAGCTGATTTAATTAAAAACAATCCGCACTAATTGACTATTTTGGTATTTTTCCTGATTCCTGGTTAACATTATCATTATTCCAGTGTTTAAAAAGGGCAGTCCAAGTATACCAGCTAATTACCGCCCTAATAGCTTACTTTCAATACTTGGCAAAATATATGCTAAGCATCTAACGAAACCTTTCTTGGAGTAGATGACTGATCTTAGTCTGCCTGGTAAGGAACAGGTGGGCTTCCGAGTGGGATCCTCAATGCTTGATCACTCGCTCACTCTCGCGTTTCTAGCTGAGAAATATTATCTTCATTTCCATGGCAAGCTTTTTGTTGCCTTTATTGACCTTTGAGGAGCGTTTGACTCCATCAATCAATCTCTGCTCTGGAATAAAAGTGGCCAGCAAAGGAATAGACCCTTGTCTGCTGTTCTTGGTACGTAAACTTCACTCTGACAATAGTTGACAAGTACAGGTCAATAATAAAGGTCTTCTGACCAAAGATCTCAGTCTCTAAAGGAGTTAAACAAGGCTGTTTCCTTGATCCTGCTCTTTTTAATTCATTCATGTCAGATCTACCAGATCATATTACCATAACTGAACATCATGCTCCTAGGATAAACTTACCTTGTTCCGTTACTATTGTATGCCAATGATACTGTTCTCTTATCTACCACTAAGTCCCTCCTTATACAATTACTCTCAGGTTTTGCTGATTTCTGCTCCAAGAATAATTTAACCATCAACACCGATAAATCAAAGATCTTGATATTCTCCAAATCTTGGAAACGTACCAGTGGAAAATAAATGGGAAGCCAATAGAACAAGTGAAATCTTTTCGATATTTAGGCTTGTTTCATTACAAATTAAACTGCCCTTACCATCGTAAGGTGGCGGTTTCTTTGGCTATGAATCAACTTTCTGCATTAGCCCACTTCCATTTCCATAGTGGACATCAATATGTTCCTGTTCTCTCCAAGTTTTCCAGGCGAAAATCACTAACCACCTCCTCTTTGGGGTCGCTGTTTGGATTACAGCGGCCAACTAAGAGGTACACCGCGTAGCTGCCCTCTTTCTGCGCAAGATTTTAGGCGTCCCAAATACAATTAGACTTGCAACATTATTAAGTAAACTTGAGCTTCATTTTCCAACTATCCTTGCCTGGTTATCCACTATTAAATTTTGGCTTCGTTTACACTTTCAGAAATCTTCCCAACCCTTTTTGACATATTTATTAAGTGATCCTTTTATCTCCACATGGTACTCTAACTCTAAAATCATTTCCATAGGTATTAACCTGAACTCCCTGACAAACTGTGGAGAAACTCAACTTTACCATATTATCCACCAAAGAATTCAGGACATTGAATTTCAGACTCTGGCCTGAATTTGAGACCATTTTTATAGCTTGCCCCCTTTGTCTGTAACTGGTGCCAATTATTTCACCAATCTCATTAACTCACTGCGGTACCAGGCATTTATGCTGGCCAGATTTAATATATTTCCCTCAACTGTTCTTTCCGGCAGATATTCCTTTTAAGAACTGCGGTGTAAGCGCTGCTTAGCGGAACCAGACTCAATTTTACATATTCTTCATTGCCCTAAATTTAGCGAGCTCCGTCAATTAATACTTAGCTCTGTTATTTCTATGGCTCCTCTGAGAGCTTAATCCGAATGTTAGCAGATAAACAACCTGATTTGACTGAGCATGTAACTGAATATTTTGCTATTGTAATAAACTACGGTAGGCTGACTGTTTCAAGGAGCCTTGATGTAACTTGACCGTATTTATCTTATTGCAGTGGAAAGTATAATCTTGATTGTACGGTTACTGGTTTTAATGCCAATAAAGGTTTTTGATTGATTGACTGATTGATTGATTGCCTAGTAAGTTTCCAAATTTGAGTTCCTGAAGTTCTGTGCCTTTCCTTCTGTGCGACTAAAATACAAGAGCAACCTTTGAATCATTTACCCTGGCTTCCTTACAGTATATGTAATCCTCTCAACTGTACTTGTACGATTACATGAAATACAGTTCCCATAAAGAACTGAAATGTGACAAATAAAAACTGTATGCCATTACATGCACATATATCAACTGTCACTTTCAAATACATTTTCCTCAGTGGAAAGAACAAAGAATTTAACTTACAAAAATATGGAGTGGGCCATGTGTTGAATAATGGTGTTCTGTTATCTCCATGATGATATGTTTCCAAGTCACAAATCCCTTTAGTTGTTGAACATAGTTTTTCCATTTTCAGGTAGATTTTTTCCTAAGAAGTATAAGATAAACACACATCGAAGACAGCTTTTATTTACAGTACTGATCAATTATTCAATATAATTTTCATCTGTATTGGTTATTTAATCACCGTATTCAGAAGCTTAGGCAATTCAGTTCAACAAAGAGAATGAGCAGTCAGTGCTAAACAAAGTTCAGCAGCCAAAGTCTTACAGGTATTTGCAATAACTTACTGTGGTTAACTGACAAGGTGCATCTTGGTTGTGCAATCAGGTGCGTTAGCACCTTGTCAGTCAGCCTCAGCAAGTTACACAAATATATGTGAAAGCCCACAGGATTCAGGCCAGTGCACATCAAATGACATTTTTGAGAGGCATTAAGCATGGTGGTCCTTCTGAATGACTTGTATGGTAGACATTCATTTTAAAGCAAGGTGATATTCATGAAGTACGTACTAAAAGGGCAACGTACACCCTTTCTCTGGGTTTCCCTCCTGAGATCATGGCCTTACATGATCTAGAAGATGACAAGTAAATGTTCTGCAATATACATGTTCTTACATGAGTAGTACCATATTTTTGAAGGTCTCAAGTAGTTCTGTGCAACAGACTTCAAGTTCCACATTGTAGTCAGGTAGCAGCCTTTCAGATTCAAAGGCAGTATTATCATATTCTATCTCCAGCTTGTTTTCCTTAAATCTTAAAAAACAAAAACAAAAACTTGAGTATATAAGAACTAGCACCTTCCCATATTTTCTGCAGGTCTTTTACACCTTGATACATATAAACCTAAAGTCATCCGATTATTGAAAAAGCTTTGTATGTTTTCATCGCCTGTTTGAATATCACCAGTTTCAGTGTGATGGCAAAGATGAGATTTGTAGACGAACATCAATATACCTTTTTGGTACACTTACTCTGTGGCAATTTTGATGTTCACAATCTTTGTGGCTGTGGTAAATCCATTATCATTCAGAGTCTCCCACTTCATCATTAGGTTATGCCAGTCTGCTGCATTATCTTTAATTTTTCTTGCACTGACAGTTAAGACAGGTGTCCTTGGAGTTGAAATTTTGGCTAGTCAAAATCACAGGAGTTAAAATCTTTTTAATGACAATGGTTCAATGAGATATTCTCGTCCAAAAAATGTAGGTTAGTAACCTTTTACATTTTTACACATTCAGAAGGAAAATCACTCAAGCTGCTGCAGTCAACTGCCGTTAGTTTAAAAATATGCTGGATGCATGCAGGGCATACAATCAGGCATGTGCCCAGTACTGTACTGCATTAATGTGCCACACTACTTTCTATGAATCCTCTTCTACACAAATGAAAATTGTAGAATTCCAGCCTTCATTATATAATACACTGGTTACATTTCCACAAATTCAATTCAAGACTAAAAGTCCTATTAGTTTAATGGGACTGTCTGCTTGCATACACAAAGCTGAAACAACTCTTTTAAGTTAGCAACCAGCATGAAATAATTTTGAACCCCTCCACACAGATGAAACCTACTGCTAATAATGACATGACAGCATATTTGAGGAGAGAGGAGCGCATGCTTGTTCTCCTTGCAAATATTACCAGTGCCTTTACAGAGAAGAAAGCAGAGCCTGAAAAGCTACAATCCTATGGTCCCCAAATTTACCTTGGCATTTTGATTTTAAAAAATTAGTCTATAAAGTTATATCTACAGAAACAGTCAGTGACACAGCAGCAATTATGCAGAGCAAATCCCATCCATCGGCTTTGTCGGAATGACTACAATTGTATTACTGTAGTCTTGTTATTAAATTCCGTGGCACATGTACACATTCATTTTATAGACTGCACACTGTACAAAGCAACATTAAGTTTACGAGGTCTTTAAAAAAACTGTTTAGGATGCCCCCCCTTCCAATAACCAAGATTACTGTGTTGTGTCCTAATAATAGACATCTGGTATAAAAGTTCTCATTATTTGTCTAGATGGGTGGGGTATAAATCTAATAAAATAAATAAAACAAATTATAAGTATTTGTCTATGACTAATAAACTGAATGATGCCCATATATAGCACATTTTCACAACTGATTATAGATATTCTTTACTGTATGCACTATAAAGTTTTGTTGCACTTCCGAGCCTAAAAGGCCATATCCCTTTGTGACCTGTAGGCTACCTGAATGAGTTACAGTCTACAAAAGTTTGTGCCAAATAAAAATTGGCATAAAAATAAAAAGAGCTATGAGGTGTTTCATTCTTTTTGCTTCAATGTAAGAATGCAGCTACTCTCCCAAGCTTTCGCAGCCATGCAGTGCTCCTTATGCTGGAACATTTGCTTTTACCATCATCATCAACATACAGTAGACCAAGCTTTCGCAGCCATGCAGTGCTCCTTTTTATGCTGGAACCTTTGCTTTTACCATCATCATCAACATAGATCAGTCTCCAGGGCCATCATAGGCTTATCCAGTGATATTCTTTTGCACCACGATTTTCACAAGAGAGAAAACAAATCCAAACTGCCACATTAATCCTATTCTAAATTAATCCACAATAACTACCTTGTGTCAGCTCTTAACAATTTATAATATGGGTTGGAAGTCTGTATATATATATATATATATATAGACTCTCACCAGCATGAAGCAATTAATATCGTGGGTAGGCGTTTGCACTCCTTGTATTCTGATCCACAAAAGCTCACAATGTGATGTTAGTTTTTTAAAGTGCTACAACATTTTGCCTTTTCTTCCCTTTTACTGTATTTTCCCCTTCACTTTTTTTTGCCAGCATGCTAAATGCCCTCCCCTAGTATCGCGACCAGACATCCCAGTAAAAAAAAAAAAGTCGGTTACCTACTGAATACACAAAATCTGTGCAGGAGAGAAAACGAGAGGGGGTTAAAAAAAACAAGAACACCGCTCTCTACCTGTTTTCTCTCCCACAGGTATAACTGTATACAACTCGCATTCTCCTGCCCGCAGGGCGATGATGCCCAAGAGGCATCTCTCCCCGCTAAATAGTCCCCGCAGAGGCGCCGAGGGCGGTGCTCGTCCTTCCCCACCTCTGGCGGGCACCCTTGCAGGGCAGAAGCGGCGACTCGCTCCAGAGGGCCACGGCGTTACCTCAGGCCCGAAGAACGAGCCGCAGGCCCCGCTCCGGTTCTCCCCGGGCCTCCGGGACCACTTACCGGCCATTCTCGCTGGGCCTCAAAAAAGCGCCGCTCGCTGGCGGTTCGGCCACTCCCTTCGGAAGTGCGCTCACGTCCGGTCTGGCCCTGCCCGGCGCCGCTGCTGCCTCCTCCTGGAGGCCGCCTATCGGAGCGCCGGGCTTTCGCTTCTCAGCGCCGCCAGGCCTGGGGGGCCTCGACCGGGGCGCTGTCCGAGTTACCATGAGGGGCCGTGGGCTCTCCTGAGGTGAGTGGGGTGCCTTGCGGCCTAGTCGGGAGGAAGGGAGGCCGCCGCGTCTCCCTCGAAGTGGGTTGCTGGGGGGACGCTGGGCTGGTGCCCTCCTGGAGAACCACCCCCCATGGACCCCCTACTCCCATTCGTTGCGGGAGAGAAGCACTCTGTAGATGCTCAGGAGCGCTCTTTTTAAAATTACTTCAGTGTTTCCAGAACTGTGGCATTGGCAACACGTGGGGGGGCTTGAATCTTAGGGGTTCCCTGCTAAAGCCAAGCCTTATTTGTTTGTTAACGTTGCTGCTGCAGTGGCTGTGGCTGCCGTTTTTCTGTCAGTTATCTCTTGAAACGATGTGCATCGAAAATAGCAACAATTTGCAAACGCAGGTATGTCAGGATCAAAGGGGTGTAGGCTTCGAATCAGGTTGGTGTAAAATAATTCATCAGCCTGATATATTTCAGGCAACTCTGTGCAGAAGAAGGAAAAGGAGTGGTTCCTTTTATTTTCCTGAAGCGAGGGAGGGCATCTGAGGAGTGTTACTGGTTGTAAATAGGGAACCAAACTGCGGGTCCTTGCTGTGGATCATTCCAGCCTGGAATAAAAAGGTGTGGTTTCATAGGAGGAGGTGATGGAATAATTGGACTGCCTCTCTTTTTTTCTATGTTCTTCATTTCTTGTGGGTTAGCATTGTAACCTGGAAAAGGACCAGAGGGAAATTAATCCAGAAATTACTTTTTTCCCTTTAGTCCTTTTCCCCTTATTTTTTTCAAACCCATTCACTTCTCCCATCAACTGTTTATTGTATCCATTCCTTGTCATTAACAATAAATGATCATTGTCCTGCAGTTCAAGTATTTAAATGCTGACTTTTGAGATTCTTGAGGTCTTACACCAGATCATGTAAAAAGCCCATACATCATGACTATTAGTCAATCTCAGTGGATGGCTACCTAGTTATGATACTGAAAACCCAAATTGGCAATATTCTTTCTGGATGTTTGCTGTCCTCATTTTTCTTTGCCCAGCTGGAAGTAAAACCAGGTAAAGTTAATAAAGTATGTATTAGAGTTTCTTTTTTCCCCCAAGCATTAAAGAGCAAAAATTAACATTCCTTTAAGGTGGTTTCTTTCCTTCCATGTTTTGTAGAATTAACATTGTAGTATCCATCTGTATCAGCTTTTGAAGAACTGAGCCAGAACTAAAATCCTGGGGCCTTTTCTCTCTCTGCATGTGTGTGGAGTAGAAAGTGGCCAATTCCTAATCTTTGGGTATACTGTACAGTATTTGTGTGTTTTGGATCCACTGCAAATGTTGCCTTTACTAAAATGGGGAATTAGGTAAGAGTTTCCTGTTGCTGTTTATTTCTTCCATATGGTACATGCTCAGCTGTACTGCCTTTATTTCTTGTGCATGGTGCATGTTCACTTCTTCTGTTAATAAATTCCAGCATGCTCAGCTGTACTGCCTTTATTTCTTCTGCATGGTGCATGTTCAGTTCTTCTGTTAATAAATTCCAGATATAATATTCATGTTTGATGCACAATTTTGGAAAAATGTAAATTAGGGTATCCAGTTTGACACTTGTTCTTTAAAGGCAAAACTGTTTGGGGATTAAGATTGACAGCAATTTATATTCATTGATGAGTTCTTCATTTCAGCCTTTCCTTTCTCTATTTTTGCTTCCACAGAGAATAACATACTTCAGAGTGTCCATTTCACATTCAGTAGCTGAAATATGGTAGTAAGTTGCAATTACAGTAGAGTCAGTGGGGATTTGGTGTCACCTCCACCACAATTAATTCAGTGGGCCTACTCTAGTTGCAATTTACCACTAGATTTCAGACATTGTTTTGTAATCTCTAGAACTACTGTACCATAAGACAGCTCAGTTAGTTACTTACAGTAATTTCTATTAATAGAGCTGGTTGATATGTTTATGCCAACTAATACTCAAGAGCATTTTGTTTGAAAAACTCTTTAAGTGTTAAAATGAAGAACTTTAGTGCTTCCAACCCTGGTTGTGCAATTTGGTTGTCACATGGGAACAGATTGTTGAAACTGATTAGTAGGGTATTTAAGGCTAGCCTCACTCATTAGTTGAAACTCTTGTTTTCCTGTGTGTACATTATTCTGGTAAATGAGAACCATAGTCATTGTGCTGCACAATTCATACATTATACTGAACAAGAAGTCCCCTGGGTATACAGAGAGGTTAAACTTTGTCATAATTTATTTGCGAAGGCTTTCACGGCCGGGATCTAATGGTTGTTCTGGGTTTTTCGGGCTTTTTGGCTGTGTTCTGAAGGTTGGTTATTGTCCTCTGAAGATGCCAGCCACAGAGACTGGTGAAACGTCAGGAAGAACAACCTTCAGAACACGGCCAAAGAGCCCAAAAAACCCAGAATAACCATTTGTCATAATTTATTTGGCATCAGCTACTAGATAGAATAAATGTTAAGATCCAATGCAAATTGAAAGCCAGGACTCACTAGACCCTCTTGTCAAAAATGGGCAATGTTTGTTGTGAATGTACCTTTCACCAAGGGATTTTGGAAGTTTATTAGCTGGCTCAGCTATTTTTAATCCTACATGTGATTTTTAATGCTATAACCTTTGGGCTATTACGTAGATATTGGTTCTGCGTAATTTATGTGTGCCTGCGTTGAATATCTGTGTGAATAAGCAAGATCACTTATTGGAGACATAATCCGATAGAGACTCACTTGTGTAATAAGGCAGCACTCATGTCTGCAACTGGATGGATTGACAGTGGTGGTAACATCACAGACCAAAATATTTGCTCACTGTCATCTAATAACACTGCTAAGTATTTATATAGCCCATTTCAAGTTAATCTTTATAATAAACATTTAGGTAGGTAGATCACTATGGTTATCCTCATTTTACCATATGAGGAGTAAGGTAGAAAGCAAACTCTTCTATGTAAAAACTATTTATTTATTTGCTCTTCTTATGCCCAAGAACACCCAGAATGGTGAAAGACATGATTAAAACAATAAACCATATTAAAGATATATCATACATAATCCAGAAGCAGCATGTACATCTCTAAGTAGCTTTTAGATTAAGCACTGACATCAGGGATTACTTCTGCAGCAATTTCTTGGTTTTAGGCAAGATTATTTGCTTAATTTATGTGGAATTAGAAACAGAAACTGTGGATTAGGGTGTAGATCTTTACTCTTCTGGCACATTCTGCAAACATGGTAATTTTTGATTGGAAAAACTAGACTCTTACACATTAATTCACATTACTTTTCAGAATTTAGTGACCTGGTTTAGATATAGCATTAAGGTATTGTTTAATGTCACATACATGAAGTTCAGATATGTGAGTTTCTTCCTTTTGTGTGATTATGAAAAGATTGAGCAGGTGGTTTCCATTTACCATAGTTTTGTGTTTTGTTCTGTACTCAACTGTACTAATTTAGCTGTGGTTCATTGAATCATCCCATATAAACCATTCTTTCAAAGTTAACCTGTTTCAATGAACCATAATTAAGATTAAGCAGTTTATCTGGGTTCAGGTATAATGCTAAACTGTAGTTAGTTTAATATGGGAGTGAAAGTTTCTGATCTCCTCATAGTACGTATTCTAGAAGCAGCAGCTAAAACACTGCATGTTTATTCATATTAATGCTAAACAATGTCCCAACTGTCAATATATAGAATACAAGAAAAGTAGAACCAGATAGAGCATTTGCAACAGATTGTTGTCTGTCCTATTCTTACTCTTAGAACTGCAGAGCTGGAAGGGATCCTATGGATCATCAGGTCCAGCCCCTGTCAAGAAGACACAGTGAGGAATCAAACTCCCAACCTGTGGCTCTGCAGCTAGAGATTTAAACCCCAGAGCTATCCGGTCTCTGTAGCTCTACATTTTTTTAAAAGGGGGAATTGCATATTGTTGTTTTCCCAGTTTATGGGAATAAATTTTTTTACTAAGATTATGGTCAGCTAAACAAATCCAAGGTCAGTAATGCAATAAAAACCATGAGACAGACAACATTATTCACTGTTTTTGTAATATAAGCATAACAGAAACTGCCTTTGTTTTCTGTGGTGAGAGTACCTGAAATGCATATTTTCCAGCCTTTAGGTAGCATAAACCTCATTGATCATGGCATCGGTGACTCCATCATTTACCTTCAAGGAGTTTTGCCCCCTTTACTACCTGCTCAATGCCATTCCTACAAAGATCCAAAAGGGATTCCGTTCCATTGTGGTATACCTCACAGCACTTGACACCAATGGGGACTACATCGCTGTGGGCAGCAGTATTGGAATGTTGTATTTATACTGCAGGCGCCTAAACCAGATTCAAAAATACAATTTTGAGGTAAGAACAAACCCTTCTACAGCATGGCTTCATGTTTTGGAATGTTTTTCTTCCATTTTTTTCTGAGTCTTTTGTCTTGAGTTGCTTCTCTGCCTTTCTCACCCTGTAAAATAACTTGTTAAGAGATGGAGAGGAACTGTGGCCCACTTGATTCTCTCAAATCTCTTAGTAACCTTCTCCTTCTGATGCTGGCACATTAGCTGTTGAATAGCTTGAGCAGATAAGCTCTTCTACCAGCACTTTATATGTTTTAGCCAGGTAAAGTCTTTTGTTTACCAGACTTGTAAAGCAAACTTGTATTTAGAAGCACTTGGGTTATCAGTGTTTGTTTTATTTTATGATCTGAGAATTTGTTTGGCTTTATGTTTCCTTTGCTGTAAAGAAACTTTTAATACTATGTTTCACTATTGGCGATAGGTTGTCTTACTCTTTGATTTATATTCAATGATATCTGTTCACCAACCAGCACCCCTCCATACCATACAACAGGTTTCTCTTTCTTCCTCCAAGTTCCCCAAGCCTCACCTCAAATGTGAGAGTGGGATCACGGAATCTTCCCAAGTCGCTTTTTTATGCACCATTTAATATATCTTCTTCTTACTGTTTTTTTTAAATGTAATGTTATGATATTTGCTTCTTCTGTGAGGCACTTGTAGAGCGTATGCTGATGGGCAATTTGTAAAAATTCATGAAGTTGATAAATAGTGCATTAAAAACATAAATATCAGCATTCTGTTTCTGTTAATTTATTCTTCTCTTAACAGGGGAAAAATGAATCTATTACTGTTGTGAAACTTTTGAGCTGCTTTGATGATCTTGTTGCTGTTGGAACAGCTTCGGGCAAGATTGCAATTTTTCAGCTTGTCTCTTCGTTGCCTGGGAGAAACAAACAAGTAAGTGCCAAACATGGTTCAAAACTGATGATGTTAAAGAGAGTTTCAATTTAATTCTCCAGTTATTTAGCTATGATCACATAGAAGATATGTACTTAATGAAACACTTTGCAAATAGCATCATAGCAAGGTTTTTCCTGCCTTGAACACTGTAATCACAGAAGAGATTCTTCTACAGAAACATGTTTCTGTGAGATTCCTGACATGTGTGATAGTGAAATGGCTGAACAGGTAAACCAACCCACTGTAGGTTTCTGTTTCCCTTCTAAGTCTCTTTTGTATGTTCATATGATTTGTTTGTTTGTTTATTTGGCAGCTTCGACGGTTCAATGTGTCTGGTTTCCACAAAAGTAGCATCACAGCCTTGGTATGGAGTCCTAATGGAATGAAACTATTTTCTGGAGATGACCGAGGGAAAATAGTCTATTCTGCTTTGGATTTCGATCAGGTAAATTATTTTTTGGCCCAAGCATTGTTTCCCAGACTTTGAATAGCTCAGGCACAGCTTTGATTTTCCTATATTAAAAAAAAACCTCTGAGAATTGTAGCTGAAAATGTAACATTTATAGGCCCTAAAGAGAACATAAAAAGATCCATGCTGCATCAGATCAAAGACCTGTCTAGTTAGGCATTTCGTTTGCCACCATGGCTAAGCAGACAGCAGCAGAAAACATACAAGTGTGATGTTTAAGCACCAGCCTCTCCTTCTGCTGTTCCTCAATGAGTGGCATTCAGAGCTTGTTTTTCTTCATTGTAGAGGGGGTTTATATCCATCATGACTAGCGACAGTTGGTAGAATTATCTTCTGTGAGTTTCCTGATCCCCTATAAAACTTATGAGTTGCTGACCCATCACCACATGTTGTGTGAGCAAATCTCTAGAGATTATCTAGGCACAGCATAGATTTCTGACTGTTCAGAATTATACATTATTCTTCTCCACTGGATGACCCTGGTTCTTGTATTATGAGAGGAGAGAAAAATTAACTCTGCAGAATGCATGTTCTTGATATAGTAGAAGTGGCAGAGCCAGCTTTCTGTCACCAAATGCGATTGGGATTTTACATACATGCAAAATAAATTGTGTTAAATGCCATGGTTGATGGACAGGATGCTGGGCATGTGCCTAGAGTGCGCCTGGTATCTTGGCAGCCAAAAAAACCCCTGTGATTCTTCTTGCACACATGTAAAATCAAGAATAATCATGTAAAAAGATGCATGACTCAGTCCTGATGTCTCACTCCTGCGAGATAGCACTTACTGACCTGCTGCCCTACCTCTGTTATTATTGTTATAATGATAACAATTTGTAACTATTTCCAACACAGTACCTACCCTATTTGTTGCAACCAGAACCCCAAAGTCTTGTATTAGGCAAATGAGGTTTGTTTGGGGTTTTTTTTTGCATCAGATGCATCTGATAAAAATAAGTTACAATCCATGAGACCTTACACCAAATAAAATATATTAACATTTAGGGTACTCTAACTTCATTGCATTTGTAATTGTTAACCTTTCCCAGTGTGCATGCTTAGTCAAGTCCCAGATGAATAAGGTGATGGTTCTTGGAGACATTGACTACGTATTTGCTTGATCATGGCTTTGGCTTTAGCTGTCTCTCATCTTTAGGGGTTTTTTTACTTCTGGTTAGGAAGGCACATGTTTCACCTCCTTCTGCTGTGGCCTTGTGAATGCCAGTTGGCACCTACCACATGACCACGTGCTAGTCAAACCAGCTTTAAGCTGAGCCAGTTCAGACCTGTAGCAAGTTTATAAACATGTTTGTACCTAGAAAAATGATATTTGAATTAGTGATGTATCACCCTCAGGGCCGTTGCAACTCTACTTTGGTACTGGAGGAGCCATCTTCAATTGTACAGCTGGATTATAGCCAGAAAGTATTGCTCATCTCGACTTTACAGCGAAGTCTACTTTTTTATACCGAGGAAAAGTCTGTCAAGCAAGTTGGAACCCAACCCAGGAAAAAGTAAATGTTCCAAGCAGCTATTTTGGTTTCATTGAAAGAGACAGATTTGGAAAAGTAATGTAATCTGACATAATTCTCTTAAAGTCTTTTATAGAGAATGGAAATTAATGGGGCAACTCTAGTTGAAACTTCTGATTTCAGCGTATATTTCATGTTGTGCCACTGTGGTTCTTCCAAGAGATCATGGGCCCCAAGATCATGGGCTAATTCAGATTTCTAAAATTATTTGAGCTATTTCTTTCCCTTTAAAAAATAATTTAATTTTACTTTACTTTATATTTTATTACCTCAAACTCCAAAAAATACTTAACACAACAGAGCTGTGCAGAGCAGAATAAATTCTTCAAAATAAATAAAACTGTTCTTCCAAAAATTGTGGAACTCTGTTTTTTTCATATTACTGTATGAGGATTGAAATTTTTTAATCTTTTTCTTCAGATTTTTTGGCTAGGATCTGTGCAGTTCTATTTCTCTCCCTGTGTGTGTGTGTCCATAGTGTCTCCCACCATGCATTGCACTCTACCCTAGAGAATCTCCTGGCGTAAGAAGTAGCTTCTGCAGAATGGACAAAGGGGGCCAAAGCAGGAGGGGGGGGAACTGAAAAACTCCTTATGTGCACAGAGAATCCAAAGCTATATTCTTCATTTTTGATTTTAGCAGATGATTAATTACAAATATCCTGCAACTGTGTATTTGTACCACACTACACAGATCTTCATTTAATTCTCATTTGGAAAACTTTATCCTCTTAAACGTATAAATGACATGTTGTAGCATGTATCTTTTCTTTCTTAATTCTTGGTTTGCTTTTAAATTTTAGTACTGGTAAATTTGGAGCATGTTTTATACCTGGGTTATGTAAGCGAAGTGACATAACGCTGTTTGCTACAAGACCTGGGATTCGCCTTTGGAAATCAGATGTCCATGGGACTGTTGAAGCCACATTTATTTTGAAAGATGTATTTGCAGCTGGAATGAAGCCCTTTGAACTGTATCCTCGAGTGGAAACTTTTAACAGAAGCAGCTGTAATTTCCCAGAGAGACAGCTTGGACTCATTTCCTGCTTTTTCCAGGAGGGGTGGGTGCTGAGCTGGAATGAATATAGCATCTATCTATTAGACACTGTAAACCAGGTGAGTGAAACCTGAAGTGTTGTACTATATCTGCAGCACTTAAACCTACATTAACTGGCTGGTTTTCTGCAATGTTATCACAGTCGGGATCTGAACAGTGCTATTTCCATCTCTTCTGCCAGTTTTGGCTTGTGATTTCCTGGTCTTTCTTCTTGATCTTAACATATGCATTATGGGCATCTAATTACTTCAAAATTGAAACACTTTCCACATTGATTGGATGCCATGGAACACCTGAAAATATTGCAAAAGGGTTCTAGGGTATGTTCTGAGATGTGGTCTCAGTTCAAACAGGTTAGTCTGTTGGTTGCCCAAGGAGATGCCTAAAATAATCTCCAGTGTTCTGTTTTAATTGTGTTCTATTTTAATCATCTCCAGTGTTCTATTTTAATTGCATATCTGTAAGAGAAGATTAATAGTGATGGGCGACATTAAAGTGTCTTTCATGGAAGCTCATTACTGATCCTCCCATTGGGGAAACTTTGGTAAGCTAGCAAACCATTATGAAAAAACATTCTGAGAACTGAGGCCTTGGGTGGAATTAAAACATGTTTAAAGAGTAAGGGATGATTCAGTGTCTCCAAATCCAAATTTTGAGGCCTGAAATAATAACTACAGCTTGCAAAATCTAGATTGTGTTTTCCCAGTAGACTCCAGTAGATGAGTGCCTGGTTATTAGAAATCAAATGGAATGTGCAACCAACTCAGGAAGATGAGCTTTCTAGCGCTGTTCAGTTATCTTGTGGGGGAGGGGGTTCAGGAATGGGAAATAAATCACTTCCTCCCATGGTTTGAGGTTATTTGTTCTATGGCATTATCCATCTTGGATATGGTTGTGTGCTCTAGACCTGAGAATTTGATAGGAACATAATGGGTGGAGAAGGAACATGCTAGAAAATAGTGAAGAGGAAAGGTGTTCTTCCTCCTTCCTGAAACACTTCTTTGTATGCTAGGTTTAACTCCATAGTAGGAATTTGTTCCACCAGATACTTAGTATATGTGATAAAGAATGCACAAACATTTTGTACATCCTGAAAGTTCATGTGTCTTTGTCAAACCATTCCGGAGATTTAATTAAAAATGAAATAAAATAAAGTTGCAAACTTTTACATCTTGCGTGTACTTAAAGAGCACCACTCGAGTCTGTGGAAGCCGCTACCTTATTTTAAGATGACCACATGAGCTTGCTATTGCCCTTGGTATTAAAAAAAATTGAAATCTAAATATATAACGCCGATCAATACAGTGTATGTGAGTCTCCATATTTTGCACATAAAGTTTTGAGCTGCAGTGTTTTATTCCTAGAGGAGCAGCATGATGTTGGTTTTTAGAGTACACTGTAATCCTGGCTTCTTTCAGGAGCCACATTAAATCTGTTGTGAAATGGTAATCAATAGCTGAGCTAGGATTTGGAATTGTTTCCTTGTAAACTAAGAATACCATTCAGGGAATTAGTCAGTCTTTATTTCTGAAGGAGGTAGTTAACAGCAACAGAAGTCTTCTGATGAACAGGTCTCATTTGGCTGAAGCTTTCATATAAAAAGTTTAGAATTGCAGAGCGGGAAGGGACCCTATAGATCATCAAGTCCAGCCACTGTCAAGGAGGCACACTGGGGGATTGAACTCCCAGCCTCTGGCTCTACAGCCAATTACCTAAACCAGGGGTCCCCAACCCCTGGTCCATAGCCCGATGCCGGTCCATGGGCTTCCCAGGACTGGGCCGTGGAGACAGATCTCCACTTCCCCCTGCGCATGCATGGCGGATGTGTCATGCTCGTGAGGGGGAAGAGCTATCCAGCAGTTCATACTGTAGCTCATCTGGAAAATTAGCTCTTGCCAATGTTATGATACTTCAAGATTTGGTAGTGTATATAAATGTGGTTTGGAATTGCTGTTCTCATGCCAGCAGGAGCGAAATGTTGCAACAGAGTTAAAATATTTGTATTCCATGATTATAGCCAAGTTCAATGTGGATCACATTGGTATTGGTCTTTTACTCCTGCCCCCCTGGTTTCATTTTGCTAGTTGTATAATATTGCTTGACAAAAATGCAGAAGAACCCTGAAGTATCATTTGCATCCTAAAGCTTTTCTTTAGCCATTTTCATACGTAGTTTATTTTTAACTTTCCTTGTTTTCACAGACAATGATTGGCAGTTTAGAAGGATCTGGCGATATCGTCTCTGTGTCCTGCACCGAGAATGAGATTTTTCTTTTAAAGGGGGACAGAGATATCATTAGAATCTCAAGCAGACCTGAAGGACTGGTGTCAATAGGTTGGCATACATCAGTATACTAAGTTTTGTAATATATATGACAAATGTGTGGTGACTGCCCTTGCATCATTCAGATAGATTCAGTTTGATCCCTTCACCTACACAAGGATCCATTCACCATTTAGCAAACAAATCCCATTGTCGGCTGCTTTCTGCCTGCACTGAATTTGGTTAGACTGGCAAGGGAATGTAGGATGCTTGAAACTCTTGTCAGCATGCAGGTTGTAATTCTCAGTGAATCTTAAGATGAAGACGATGGCTTGTTTCTACAGAAATATGGGTGAAGCAAGGCATTCTTTGCCATCACTTCACCTTGTTGCAATCTCTTGCATCTTCCAAAAATGCCACTACTGAAAACTGATACTGTCTGATGTATAGCACGGTATCATGTTAAGGGCTACAAATTAGCTGAAATCAGAAATCTTCACCGCACAATGCCTTATAAGGAGTTTTTCAAGGCCAAGAAATGAAGCTAACAGTGAACAGATTTGAGATTGTTATTAAGTCATTTCCATATGTAATTCTGCCTATAGAATCCACTGCTTTGTGTGTTTTTTATTCATCATCCTCATGAATACAATACTTGTGTGCTGTCAAGTCAATCCTGACTTATGGCAACCCTTTTTCAGGGTTTTCCAGATAGAGAATACTCTGAAGTGGTTTACCATTCCCTTCTTCTGGGGGCATCCTGGGACTGTGCAAGTTGTCTAAGGCCATACAGGCTGGCATTTCTGAGATGCACAGTGGAGAGTCAAACTCTCAGCCTCTGGGTCTGCAACCAGAGACCTAATTCATTGAGCTAGCATGGGGCTAAATGTGAAGAGGAATTTATCATACTGTCTGGTAATATGCTATCTGTTGGGAGTCCATTGCCAGGTGTTTGTTAAGATGTTTTTGAGAAACTTAATCAATTAATCCCTCCCCAATTAATTGTCCCTCCAGTATCTTGTATGAAAAGGAATCCTGCCTCCAGACATGGAGGCTTTGTTATCACCACTAATCCTAATAGCTCCGAGCTCTTCCTGGCTTGTTTATTTTTTTAAAAAAAAACTGTCTATGAGCCAAGCTGTATGGTTCCAACAGCCCATCATTAGAAAGAAATGTTAAGTGCTGGAAATTGCTGATGGTTGTAGCAGGAGCTTTTCACATTTTACACAGATTGCAAATTAGCTTGCTTTGTTTCATGATTGGTCTCCAAATTTGATTGCTGAGTCATGAAGGTCTACCTGAGTCACATATCAGGAGTACAGTACTAGCATTTCTTGAATATCCTAATCAACCATTTCATTGAGTGATTCAGAGTTCTAATTGTTACAAGAAAGGAATATAGTTCTGTCTCCTCATTCTACCTTATTCCTAATTTTATAGACCACCACCATAATTATTGTTTCCCTGCTTCTACATAGAGCACTGTTAATTGCCACCTAATGTTTATCTTTTCACATGTTACATTTCAGATATAAATTCAAGATTGGTGAGTCCATCGTCTGATTTGAGCCCGAAGTTACAGAGCCCCCACTCAGTCATTGCGTCTGTGTCATTTGATCCTTCTTTGGAAGCAAACCAAAAATTAAGCAGTTCCCCTTCGCCCCAAACTCCTGCTGATAAAAATGGCTCCCTTGGGAGAGCTGACCTGGAAGTGGAACTGCTAACTGAGAAAATTCGCTCCCAGAGCTTTGATGGGCTTGGGGACCTGAACACTGACCCAAGGAGAAGAAGAGGGTATTCAGTCACAAGTGAATCAAGAAGCAGGAGCAGTTCTGTGAATTCTGTGGATAGCAGCTCCAGTTTTTTGACCTGTGGAGATCAAACGTCCGAAGTGCAGAGGGACGGTCAGCTTTCTTCGCAGCGGTTCAGCCTGATCAGCTCTGAAGATTTCAACCAAGAATTGATTGTCAAACCAGTGAAAGTGAAGAAGAAAAAGAAGAGACGACCAGGTAAATACAGTAAAGAGGAAAGCCTGCTCTGGGATTATCATTTTGTGGCAAACATACTTAAAAATACCTCAGGGCCAATGCAGTATAATAGAAAGAATATTAATGAAATCAAGTTTTGTCTCTTGATAGTTTTTTGTCTCAGATCAGTTTAACTGTACCTTTATCGTGAAATAAAACCGAAGGATTTCAGATTTGATTTCTATTTTGCTTTATTTTCCTATTTCATCTTTCAAGTTTGAAAGTCCATATTGGGTTAACACCTTAACAGACCTTTTCTTCAGGCATTACTAAAAGTAGATGAGGGAAAGGAAAACTTGATGCAACAATCATGTAGTCTGTGTTCTATTTCAAGATGTAACGTTGATCTGTACTTAAGTTATGTTTAGTGGTTTTTACCTTAATTTCATAGGTATCATTTTATGCGTGCAAATCGTTCTGCAGATAGTATGTTTTCTTGGATTAATTGTGGCAACAAAAATGTATTTTTTTCTGTTGGACCTAAAATGGTATCCCTTAAATTAACACACTTTTTATTCTTTTTGTCCAACCTCTCCCACCATTACCTTTCTAATCCGTATGTGATCTTAGAAAATGGGGCAAGGAGAAATCCTAGCTCTTTGGACAGCACACCATGCTCTGAGCCTCAAAGCTTCACTGCTGGCCCATTGTTTCTAAATGCCGACTCATTCTCTATCAATTCTAGCCTGATGGGCAGCATTGCAGACCGCTTAAGCATGAGTTCTGCGGACCGGGAAAGCATATTCAGTGTAGAATCCCAGAACATGTTGCAGGAGGAAAATGGCTCTGAAACATTCAGCGTGCTTCCATCTCCCGAGTCAGGTGCTGCTCTTACGCCAGAGAACAACGGTGCACCTGACCTGATGAAAATTTCTAAGGATGTGGGTGAAGTACGTGCATCACCTGCTCTGTATTGCTTGACATCGAATTCTCCCTTCCTTCTCACAGAAGACAAAGCAGGCAGTGATGAACCTGAACATAATCAAAAACCCCAGTCTGAAAGAACTGAGCCTGACTCAAAGCTGTCATCACAAAATGAAGAGCATGTTCCTTTCCCATGTAAAACGGAGGGCACTTCAGATACATTGGATCTTCTGGGCACCTTAGATTATCTCAAAGGGACAGGTTCAGAGAACACTATGCCTGTGAATGTACAGATGGCCTCCAGTACAGTGGATGGGTCACTTGGTTGGGCTGCAAGTGTTGAAACAGAGCAGAAGCAGAAGGAGCTTCTAGTGGACCCAGTTCTCCCAAATTTCCCTGATCTACCGCCTCCTGCTCTTCTTGAAGAAAAGCCGTACCCTCAAGGAAGTTTATTATCTGGTCAGGACTTTGGGGAGGCATTCAGTGTCAACTCCAACCCTAACACCCCCAGGGAGTGGATAAGCGACACCCATGAAACCAGAGCTGAGAAATCGGCGTCAAGTGATGAGGAGGATATCTATGGACACAGCTTACCTTATTCTTCTTCTGAGACGAGTGTGGCAGAAATGGGGGTCTGCCATCCTTCGCAGGATAAAGCCAAAGCCAGCGTAGACGAGGGAGCCCTTTTAAAGTCTGATCAGGTATGTTCTCAAAAGTCCACTTACCACACGCACCAGGGGGCCCTAGTTCACATTTAAAGCACATTTCATAGGAGTAACCTTTTCCCAAGGCTCCCATTACCCCACACACACACACACACACACATTTCAGCATCCACAGAGTTTTCAAGGAGAGCAGCCCTTAGGAATGGCTTTTGGAGGAACGTGAAAGGGGATGCTGAAGGAAAAGAGAGTGAGGCAAGTTAAAACTTCTCCATGTGTGAACAGAATTGGACTTCCGCATCTCATGGTCCAAGCCGTGAATGCGTTGTACTTCCTTTTTTTGAGGAAGCACGTTGGTTAGGGCAGACCTGGGCAAAGTGCGGCCCGAGGGCCACACACGGCCTGCGAGCCACTCCTGTCCAGACCACAGACAGTTTTGAACATCAAAACCATTTATAGCTTTTTGTTTAAAGTTGATCAGTTGCTTATCTTTAACATGCTGCAAAAAAACTTTAGTGTTTGTGAAGATTAACAAGTTTAAAATAAAAACTGTCATAACATCACTGATTCATTTAATTAAAGTAAAGTTGGTTCAGTCCCTGTACACAGTTCAGATTTTCATGTGCCCCCCCTATAGAAATTAATTGCCCACCCCTGGATTAGGGTGTTGGAGCCAATTTTCCTTAACTGGGCCACTGTTTTGTCCACCACAAGCATGCCAGTTGAGTTGGTTCATTAAAAAAAAATACAATCTACCAGAAGCCCCAAGATAATGAAGTTGGATGATATGTATGTTCAGTTAAATTTTTATTTCACAGATCCATTTCACATGACTGAAGCTGTACCTGAAACCATTAATGAATTCTCACTGGCCTGGGAAATTTGATATTAAATTGGGATTTTGATGTCATTAGATTGCATGTGAGAATTTATAGTATTTCTCTGGCCTAGTAGTTCTCCAGAAATTGGAGAATTTGTGAGTATGGAACTAAGTTACCAAAGTATGTAATAAATAGGGAAATTAATATTGTATACAAATTTGGAAAACCCATTGCTAGGGGCTGCATATTTAAAAGTAGCTGAAGTTGGTTGTTTTACAGCAGTCAGATAGGCATTTTGCTTGAGCAGAAATCAAGGATGGTTTAAACAAATATAGTAACTATGTTTTCCTTCTGTGATTTCAGATGTTTTCATTTGTCTTGTGCCAATAAAGATACCTCACCTTACTCTAACTCCCCAGTCTTTAGTTTGCAGAAAGCTGGATGGGCTACACAGGTCCTGGTTATGGAATACTCAGCCTGGTTGTCTCCGATAAATACATCTGGTGCCTGGATTACAAAGGTGGTCTGTACTGTAGTGTTTTGCCTAGTGCAGGTTTGCGCTGGCAGAGATTTGAAGATAATGTCCAGCAGGTGGCAGTCTCTCCTACAGGTTGGTTAGGCTTTTATTTCCAACCTTTGTCTCTTTGATTGGCGATTTAATTGATTTAACCAACAAAACTGTTTGGTTAAATCAACAAAACTGTTTGGTTAAATCTTGTTGTTCTTGTATATGGGGGTGAATCCTTAAAGCAGGTAAGGTCAGCTATGATTTGTTGACATACCGTGTTTCCCTGAAAATTTATTTTTGCTACAGGGCAAATGTTTAGGGCTTATTTTCATGGGATGTTTTACTTTTTTCAAGTACAACAATCCACATTTATTCAAATACAGTCATGTCATCTTCTTCAGATTGCTGCACAATGGTGGAGGGTGGCGTTTCACTTAAGTGGGGCTTATTTTGGTGGTAGGGCTTATATTACGAGCATCCTGAAAAATCATACTAGGGCTTATTTTCAGGTTAGGTCTTATTTTCGGGGAAACAGGGTAGAATACAGGGCCTGTACGGTGTATTGCTTTAGTACAACAAAAACAGTAATACAATAGACTGAAAATAACAAGGTGATTATCTTTTTGGGGGGGGACTGGGGGAGGGAGTTCTCCTAGATTGGACTGCTAGTGTCAAAAAGGTTCCCCAGAATACAAAGACTGATAATTAAGACATCTCTTGCTCCCAAGCGTAAATTTAATATCATGGGACAAAAGGAAAAATGATTGGGAGGGAAGCAGAAAAGGTGTTTTGGTTCCTCCTTGCACTTTTTTTTAAAATTTTCACCAGTGTTGTATGAATAGGAGTACTTGACAGCAAGGCAGTAATACCTGCCAGTTCTTCCCCCATGTAAGGAATCCTTTGAGGGCATGAAATCTGTTTGTTTTTTTTAGTTGACTTCGTTGGGAAATAAAGTTTTTATTCAAGAAGAACTTTTATTCAAGAAGAACTTTAACTTAAGGTCATTTCCCCTTTTGTGTTGTTTTGAAGCTCTCGCCTCCTGATTCCCACACCTGGATTGTGCCTACTCTTCTGAACAGCTTGGTCTTGTGTTCATTCCTTCCTCCATAAAAAATAGATTTCCAAGAAGCCTTTGAAATTTTTACCAACTGCAACTACTGAAAAATGGAGGAAGTAAAAAGATAGACAGGTGTTACCTTTTTCTAAATGTGAGTCAATTTATTCATTTGACATTATACCTCCTCAGGGACTCTTCTCTGGAAGGTTGAACAAAAAACCTATAAAGCTTTTGCCTGTGGAAAAGTAACAATAAAAGGAAAACGTCACTGGTATGAAGCTTTACCCCAAACAGCGTTTGTATCTTTGAGCGATGACACTGCCTGGATTATCCGAACTAACGGTGATCTGTATCTGCAGACAGGTACCTAAGTTAGTTGCTCTTCTTCCTCTGGAGGGGTGTCTTTCTTATTCTGAACTGGAGAGTAGTATGGTTCCTTCCTAGTAAAAAATGCTAAGTAGATAGGTTTTCCTGAAAGAAATCTTCCTGCCCTCACCTACCTTCAACATTTTTTCCTTGGTGTATTATAGAGTACTGTAATAGCTGACATGAAAGTGAATTACTGCTTTCTCTTGTCGGGCATCCTCTTATGTACTATTTCTTAGGATGATTATACACTTCTCTGGATGCTCAATCTCACTCTCTTTTTTTGCACTTACACCTGCATTTTGGTTCAGCCAGCAAGCTCACTCAAGTTCTTATATTATCTACTCAGTGAGTATATCACTTATCCACTACTGGTATTTCCTCATGAAGAAAGTGAACTCTCAGAGAGGCAACTCTGAGACTCTTTGTGTGGATACAGTACATTTAAAGAGAAGGACTGTGGAAAAAATGTGTTTCTTTTTTGGATACCATATTTTTAACCCTCCGCAAACTCAGAACAACTAATTCGCTGAAATTCAGGAGCAGAACTTATGCTGCGTAAGGCTGATGATGTCATGATTTTACTGCTGGCAACAGTTTTCAGAAATAAGACACCCCTCTCCCATCATGCGGTCCCCAGTCTTTTCCCCACAATGAAAGGGATCCTTAGGACCTTCTAGGAAGAAAAGAATTGGAAATGTTCAATTAATGATGCAATCAGCCTTATGAGACATAAGTTTTGCTACTGGATTTCAGTCATTAGCTCATAGCACTTTCCTGGTTAATGGGTATTATTCAGTGGTTTTTGGTTTTTTGTTTTGTTATTGAAATAAGTACTGGGAAATGAGCAGAAATAGAAAACAAGCTGTTTAAATGAAAACTGGCTTGGATTCAAATCAGTATAATCACAGGGAAGTGAGTAAAACTGATCTAATATTAGAGCTAGTGTTATAAATGTGACACCAGGAAGATATATAGCAAAGACTGCAGAGATTTTTAAAACAACAACAACACATAAAATGATACGATTAATTGCTGGTCTGTACTTTACTTAAAGGCCTGAGTGTGGATCGTCCTTGTGCCAGAGCAGTAAAGGTGGACTGTCCATCTCCACTGTCGCAGGTTACAGCCAGAAATAATGTGGTCTGGGCATTAACTGAGCAGCGTGGACTTCTGTACCGTGAAGGTGTGAGCAGCTTTTGTCCTGAAGGAGAGCAGTGGAAGTGTGATATCATCAGGTAAGCAATATTTAATCAGCAGGTATGTTCTCTTAACAGTTGGTTTTGATTTTGCAACTACTGGGTTTTTTTGGGAGGTTGTCTTTTTTTTGTTTGTTTTTTGGTGTTCTTAATTTGAACTTGCACATGTTCACAGAAGGTGCATCATGTGAGAAAGCTGGTTTCCTAATGAGAGCAGTAGGTTCCATTGACCTTTTGCAGTCTGTTTTGAAACTGTAATGGAAGAAGACGTATCTATGCTTTAATGCAATAGTACTGAGTATGATGCAAGTTGGCATCTAATATTACTCAGGCTTGGATTGAATTCGCTCCAGCTGTGCATTTATGTGGCTAGTTTAGAACATAATATTTAAGGATGTATGTAGTCTCTGCACAAGAATTTAATTTAAAAGCCAGTTTCCAGGAAGATAAAAAATTCTGCCCACAAAACATCTAAGCTCTATTTCCTCTACAAATTATACAAACTAAGCAAATTTGCCTGCATTCTTTTCAGTCACAAGTCCTGAGGGATTGTGTGGTTGACTGAACTCAGCTTGCTGGTGGGCAAAGTAATTTTTGCATAATTATAAATCCCCAGAGAGTGCTTTAGCATAATGTGGCAGTATATAAATTGAAACAGTAACAACTGATGGCTGTCAACAGAAATATTGCAGATTTTGCATATGACTTATTTAAAATCCAGTGGTGCTGAATCAGTTGGGGCACACAGCCACAAACACTAAGAAGTACTGCTATAGCCCTATTCTACTCCACAGCCCAATATGAACTACTCCAGTTCATATCATACAGAATAGGTAAACACAGCAATCAAGGAAAGTTGTATTTGTGCCCCGAGCCAACCTCTATTGATAAAATCAACTAGTTAACAGGCATTGCACCCAGTGAAATATAGAGAGAGGGTGTGGTTAATAATGAAGGATGGAAAGCATCTACATCAAATGTGCATCCACTCTTTGGACAATGTCTGACCCCTCCTGCCAGATTGCAGTCAAGGAAAAATATTTTTCAGAATATCTGTGAATGTCAGGAGTATAATGTGAAAAGAAAGAACTACCCGTCTCTTAACATGAGAGGAACCCTAGGAAAGTCTAACCTTTGGTCACATGGAGTACTGGAGTATTTGGAAGTCACTTAGCCTAATAGAATGAAATGTACAGCATACCCATTTCTTTTAGATTCGTGGTTCCTAGCCTTGGGTAAGGCAGGTGTTCTTGGACTGGAGTTCCCAGAAGTCTTCACCACCAGCTGTGCTGGCCAGGGTTTCTGGGAGTTGCAGTCCAAGAACATTTCATTACCTAAAGTTGGGAACCGTTGGTTCAGATCGATTGATAGTTTTTCACAATTCACACAGTCAGAGATTTTAGTGTAATCTACCAAGCACGAACTGTCCTTTGTTTGCAATTCGGTATGTCCTTTTTTGGTGATCTTGTTCTTTTTTGTTGTTCTCTTCAATTTCTTTGCTGTGATTGTTATAATAATACTTTTTGATCCTATATGCAAGTTATGAAATGTTTCATGTAGCAATTTGACCCAACTTCTGTCCGCTTCTCCTTCTGCTTCACATCTGTAAGCTATTTTAAGAGTTTCATCTGTTTTCCTTTGAGGCGGGATATAATTGTTTACAATTTGCAGTTCTTTTGGTTCACAGTGAATTGAGACTAGTAATGCAACTATGTTCATATATGATCATTAAATTCTTCAGGAATGTTATTTATGTTATATTTTTGTTTTAGTGTGCATCTTTAGTTTTACTCTTATTTACTCTTATTTTTACTCACTTTTTTGATATTAATGGTTCAAGGTCTGTAGCCAATCTAATCCTAGTTTTGCTTTTGCAGAGAGAAAAGAGCTTCCCCCTCTTCTGTTTCTAATTACAGTAATACCTCTGTTTGCGAAATGGGTCCATTGTACGCGACGTTACATAGTACGGAAATTTTGCAAACTGAAATGCCAATTGTGCTGAGAAAGGGGTGGCACTATAGGCACAGTGCACCCTGGGAAAGCCCTTTTGTAGTACAAAAAAACAGCATATACTGGGGCTTTATTTCCTATGGATTTCGGTTCATAAACCGAAAATTATGTAAACTGAGACGTTCACAAACCGAGGTACTTCTGTATATAATCTACAGTGGTGCCCCACATAACAAGCGATTTGTTTAACGATGAATCCGCATAGTGATGTGTTTTTTGCAATCCCATTCCCTTCTTCTGGGAGCACTCAGACTGTGGAGCTTGGCTAAGGCTACACAGGTTGGCTGTTCCCTCTCAAGAGGGACAGTGAGTAATCAAAGTCCTCACCTTTGGCTCCATAACCAGGTACACAACTCACTAAGCTATCCAGCCAGCTTCTACTTTAGTTTGCTCACCCTAAATAGTGCAATATGTGGTATACTGTTTCTTGTGTTTCAAGTTTGAGCTTATTTATAACTTATTCTTTTACATTGTAAGTTCCAGTTGTATGCCTGATGTAATACTGGACTTCCTGTTCGTCTCTCTGCACATTGTCAGTTCAGTGACCTTCAACTTTAATCCATTGACTTCGTTGGCAGCAGCATTGTTTGTACTTATATTTCTTCTTCCCAGTACCTCATTGAGTCTTTTCTGTTGAGGAAGTCTCATCTTTCAACATTATTTGTGGTGTATAATATTCAGAAGTTGTTTATTTTTGCCATCTTCTGTGCAAATGCTAATATATGTTAAGAGTGTCATTGCTGCAGTCCATGGTTCCCCAACCCCTGGTCTGTGGCCCGGTGCCAGCCCGTGGCCATGGCAGGACCAGGCCGCGTAGATAGGTCTCCTACCCACCTCCACATGCACTGCCCCCACCCGCATGCACAGCCCACCACCTACACGCATGGGTGCCCCCCACCCGCGAGCGCGCCCCTCCCCTCCATGCATGCGAGCGCCCCTACCTCTTCACGTGAGTGCACTCCACGCATGCGTGCAAGCACAGCCCTTCCCTCCGTGAGTGTGCTCCACCCCTTCGCGCATGTGCGTGAGCGCACCCCTCCCCTCTGAGTGCGCTGTATCTACCCGCACGTGCGTGCGAGCGTGCTCCGCCCCTCTGCAAGTTCACCCCACCTACCCATGAACACAGGGGGGTGCCCCCACCTAACCCACACACAGACCTCACCCCCCCAGCTGGTCCACAACTCAGAAAAGTTTGGGGACAATTGCTGTAGTCTATGAGAGATCATCCACCAGTTTCATCTTCCATTAATGCCAGTGAAATGTCCAGTAGTTGTCCTTCTAGAATTTCTCAAACCTCATCACCATTGGAATGATCAGTTCTTTTCTGCTGATCTGACCATTAACTCATGAAGAAGTTAAACTAGTCTCCCTGCTTTGATCATTGCATCTTGGGTTACACTGCCTGGTGTCTAGCCTTATAACAGAATCTAGCCTCCTGAAAATACTGCTTTCTGTTTCCCTTGCACACTCAAGCCCCATCACTAGATGGAGGGTGTGCATCCAAGAGAAAGATTTAGTGGAATCTAGTTGCAAATGCTGAATTATGTCCTTTTTTCTAAAACAGTAAAGTTGGCTTCAGCAGTGCAACTTACAGAGCTGTATATAAGCAGATGAGGCACAGCACAGGCCTTTTGTTTTTTTGTTTCTTGTTTTTTTTTTGGGGGGGGCAAGGAAGCACTATGTGCAAATGTGTTATGAATTCTGTTGTTTGTTTCCAGTGAAATGCAAGCTCTAGAGCCAGTGTGTGTTACTTTAGGAGACCAGCAGACATTGTGGGTTTTAGACATCCATGGGAACCTCTGGTTCAGAACAGGCATTGCTTCAAAGAAACCACAAGGAGATGACAGCCACTGGTGGCAAGTAAGCTTTCTTTATTCTACTTTCACAGAATGCCCTAACTTGGCAGTAAATTACATGTTCTGTATAAGTATGTTTGTCGATTCAGTCCTCCCGGGGGATCTCGGGAGTCATGCCTGGAGTCAGGACTTCTGTGTGAGAACTTGGAAAGTAGCAGTTCTTCAAATGGTGCCTAGGTGAAGTGATACTATAACCAGAGCCAGCCCTATCAATAGCTAGACTGCGGCAAGTTAGCTCAGGTGCTAAAGACTGTGAAATGGCCATAGGTTGTCAGAGGGCAAAAATGTGTGATAAAAGGCATGTGTTGCTCCATTCGCACCACCTTTCTATTTACCATGCTGTCGCTGGTCACATTGGCTGTTGCGTGTGGAATAAAAGTGGGGGGCATGTTGTTCTTTGTCTCAGGCAGGAAATTTGGGGTGGGCTTTTACAAAGTATTGGACAGATTCTTGCGCTTATTATTCTTGTTGTACTACTGACACTTTCTTCCCCACCTTCAGTAAGGATCCTAGCAAGAAACTGCCACAAATATGACTATATATATGACTAATCATCAAGGTGTCCTTCATCTGCAGATGATTTTAGTTCCTAAGTATCAAGGGCGGGTTAGTCTGATACTCTACCAAAGGTGAACAATACATTTTAGTACCTTTTTCACCTAGAGAGATGACTGGGGGAGGAATGCTGTAGGCTGGATAGCATGCTAAAAGCCAACAAAAAGAAGATGTTTATTTGCCAGGATAAGCATTTCCTTGGTGTGTAGTTTTAAAATCTTTTTTCACTTTGGCTGCTTCTTTGGGATGAGATGAGTCAATTTCCATGAACGGAGTTTTCATATCCGATAGGACTTTCCACCCTTTTACTTGTTTTGCATATTCCTTCCCCTAAGAAGTAGCTTGCGGTTCCAATCCAAGGAATTATAGGGCATTCTTGTCATTTTCAGAGGAGCATTCATCTACTGTTTGCTAGGAGCCATGAATTTTTAGTATTAACATACCAGTTGGCTCACTGTGGTGCTCTAGCATGTGTGCCTTTCTCATGTTCCTGGTTCTGAAGCACATAAGTCAAATGAGTTACATGCAAATTATGCACAGAACTCATTCTTTTGTGAGTGTCCTAGAATGCTGCTTCCCCTACTTTTTGTTTTGTTTTTTGCCAGTGGCCAAAATAATTGCAATTATGGAACACAGTGGAGCCAAGATGGATCTCCTAAGGCTCTTTTTTATTCTTTTCCCCAAATTGGACAAAATCTCCTGCATTTAAATTGGGAGACTTAGAAAAGATCTCACCACTAGTTGAGACTTGTTTTCCTTCTTCCATGTCACAAAACAATGTGAATGGTGGAAGCTCATCATTGAGAGCAGGTTGTTCTGGCTAAGGAATTCTGGGAGCTGTAGTGCAGCATATCTGAAAGACCCCGGATTGGAGAAGGTTGAATGAGATAGGACCTTGGTTTTACCTAGCCAGGGCTAGTCTTAACATTTCCTTGGACTGAACTGGGGCTTTTGAATGTCCTCCCCTAGGTAAGCATTACAGATTATGTCGTCTTTGACCAGAACAGCCTTTTCCAGACCATAATGCAAGCAACCCAAACAGTAGCCACCGCAGCCCAGGTACCTGTTGAGAAACTCCGGACAGCTTTCTGGTCCCAGCCACTTCAGTGTCAGCCAAGCCTCCTTGCTGTCAACAGCAACGGCGTCTGGATCTCTTCAGGGAAGAATGAGTTTCATGTAGCAAAGGGAAGCCTCATAGGTAAGTGCTTGTTTCGCCTTGCTCGTACTGACAAAATATGAAAGTTTATATTCATTTATCATCAGATAGACCAGCAGTATCCACAGCAGTCATGCATTAACAGCTGCCAGCCCCTCAAAGTACCAGATGTGAGAAACAGCAAACAGTGCTCTTACATCCTGTAGTATTATCAGATAATTATTTCCATGCTCTACTTTTTCATTGTGGAATATAATGAGCAAACTCAGGGCAGATAGTCTACTGTCTCTTCCCTTTTACTCTGGAAGTTCCTTATGCCTCTGAAAGGTTTATGTTGGCTGCGGAAATACACCCTTTGAAACCAGTTTTGGTTTTTCCAAGGCACCACTTGGTCTACAGCAGGCACTCTCTCCACTCACTTTCACCAGCAAAGACAGCCAGTGATCATGCTGGCTAAAAATTATAAGAGTTGCAATCCAAACCATCTGGAAACCATGATATTGGGAAAGGCTGCAGTGAGGCATGAAATGTATCAGAGGCTTCAGGTATCTCATTCCCTGGACTACTTTGGACAGAATTAAATTAGGCTAGTTTGTCAGGATTTGGTGACAGGAAAATACGCAGAGTTAATTGAAGACACTGACACATTCTTCTTCTTTAGCAAGACGGGTGTATTATACAATATTTACAAATATATACAGGCTGGCATCACTTCAGCATGGCAGGAAATCATTAAACAAACCGGCATAGAGGATAGCAGCAAGTGATAGAGAGAGAAGAGAAATCTATGAACACACTGTTCTCTTATATACATATACAAGGCTTCTTCAGTCCAATCACAGGACACATTACATCATCTTCTGCACCTGGGTCTCATCTCATCTTCAGACATTGCATCATCTCTTCAGTAGACACAGTGACTCAGCAGTCACACATCTGTTCATAATGGCAGCTCATTAATAACACATTTTATCCAGGTTCAGGCCTATAAAAATTACAATATCCTGACATAGTTTGTATTCTGTCCTGGGCTCTTTCGAATCAATGGGCAAAGTGTAACTAAAAGCACCACAAAGATTTAGGTCAGTAGTGGCCCTCTTGATATTGGATTACAGACCCCATCAGGCCTATCCAGCAATGAGAAAAGATGAAAGGTGCAGTCCAACAGCATGTAGAGCAGTGGTTGGGAAACGGGGGTAAATTACCCCAAATTGGATAAAAGTTAAAATCCTGGGGGTAATGAGCAGGGTGCTACCCCCTCTCACCCCCTCCCCCTGTAATCAAACCTCAAATTGTAAGCCACCTCTCCCTGTTACTTCCTTGTTTGCGGCACTTGTAAATTCTCCGTTCTTTCAGAGATCGGAGATAAGCCTGCTTGATTTGTTACAGCTGTAGATTAGCCCCGGGCAATCAATCAATCCAGGGCTTCTGAATGACTGATTCCTCTGGAAATGACTGCAAGCAAGCAGGAAGTGGGAAAGGTTCAAGTTAACAAGGGAAGGAGGGAAGGGAGGTGTGAGAGACCAAGGGCTTCATCAAGCTTATTTAAATGTATGGAGAAAATGTATGGAGAAAAGGGAGGGAGGGTAGGTGGATGGATGTGTATGTGTGTGAGAGAGAGAGGGAGAGTGAGTGAGAGAGACTGACTCAAAACTATGAAAAAGATGAGGCAAGTGTGGAACCCGAGCCTCGGGTCAGGAGGTGCTGGTAGGAGTGCCATCCCGCCCCAGGGCGACTGTAGGAACTCAGGCTGCTCCGCGTCCCTTCCCTCCCAAGTTGATACATCAAGCCGTCAAAACCACCGACTTGGAAAAGGGATTGAAAGGGTTATCAGTGGCAACCCAGACAACACTGGTTTGGGCGGGAAAGGAGGAGGGGGAAAGTGTGGCAGAGGCGGGAGTAGGGGAGATAGGAAGAACCCGGGACAGTATCCCGGGTGGTTGGGAGATGGTGTGGATGCAGGACTGGGAAGTGGGAGCAGGTTAGAGTGCCGAAGCAGGAGGCTGAAAGCTGGAGAAAGAAAGGACTTCCCCAGCGCCCGTTGTACTGGGGTGAGACTAAGACCCGCGAGTGGAGGCGTAAGCTGTGGAAAGAGAAAGAAGCAGCGGAGAGGGAACGCGAAGCAAAAAGGGCATGGCATATGGAGGAGTTGAGAAAGATGGGGTGCTTCCTGGGCCCTGGGACACCCGGTTTGGTGAAGGATCCACGTTCTGGGGATGGAGTGGGGATGAGGAGACCACCCCTCTATTAATCCCAAACCCTGAAGACATCGTGCCCCAAGAACCCGAAAGGGTTCTGGCTCGTCCATGGGCTCCGAAGTCAACTAACCCTTTTGAGAAAGAAGACTGGTTGCCCCTGTCTGAGCTGTTGCTCTCTCAGGAGAAGTTTGTTCCCAGTTTATTGGATGTTTCTGTACCAATGCCACCGTTAATAAATGAAGACGAGTTTGTTGGTTTTAAAACGTCTCATGGTTTATTTGGAACGGGGGGGGGGGGGTAGGGCGGGGGAAACCCCCCAGGTCTTTTAATTTCGTGGCTGCTGTCTCCATCTGCAGTGATCATGGAGCCATGGAAAGTAAAATCTGTTACTGCCTCCATATCTTCCCCTTCTATTTGCCAAGAGGTGATGGGACCAGTAGGCATGATCTTAGTTGTTTTGATGTTGAGCTTCAGACCATTTTTTGTGCTCTCCTCTTTCACTCTCATTAAGAGATTCTTTAAGTCGTCCTCACTTTCTGCCGTGCTTTTGCGTAGTCAATGAAGCAGATGTTTTTCTGGAACTCTCTGGCTTTCTCCATAATCCAGTGCATGTTAGCAATTTGGTCTCTAGTTCTTCTGCCCCTTCAAAATCCAGCTTGTACTTCTGGGAGTTCTTGGTCCACATACTGCTGAAGCCTACCTTGTAGGATTTTGAGCATAACCTTGCTAGCATGTGAAATGAGTGCAATTGTACAATAGTTGGAGCATTCTTTGGCACTTCCCTTCTTTGGGATTGGGATGTAGACTGATCTTTTCCAATCCTCTGGCCACTGCTGAGTTTTCCATTGATGATGATAAAAAAGGCACACTGGTCCTTTGATATTGGGCAATGACACCAGAGTGGGTGAAATGACCTTTAGCCTGGTTTGTTCCTTTTTGCACACCACACATAGAATGATTAAAGTGGTAGGGAAAGACATACACACCCCAATTCTGCGTTGGCTGTCTCTAGCAAGCATGTCATTGCTAGCACCGCTCTGGCAGCCACTGATGATGATTAAATCTTCTGCGAGCTAGCAAATTTTAATGCAACTTGCTAGCCACGTTGGACACCTTACTATTCCCTATACTACACCATGGCTGGAGTGCCATGTGCTCCAGCAAAAATAGTGCACGTCTTTATCAAATTTGGTGCATTCTGCTACACAGCCTGTGTAGATTCAATAATATTTTTAATTCAAATAATGTATGATTTCCTTCCTTTCGAATCAAGGGGGTAATGCCGGTGTATATAAATTTTGGGGGGGAGTAAAAGGTAAAAAAGTTCCCTGACCCCTGATGTAGAGGCCTGTGAGTTGCTCACCTCTATTCTAAGTTGCATGGAAAGGTAAAAAAAGTTCCCTGACCCTTGATGTAGAGGGCTGTGAGTTGCTGACCTCTATTCTAAGTTGCATGAGTTGTTCCCATGGGAAGAACTGTTATTGAGCCTGAGTTATGAATGGTATCTTTTTGGAAAATGTCACTGAATGGGAGCTTCCCCCTAAATGCATCAAGGTGAAGGCTGAAATTCAGAGCACATGAGGCATGTAACTCGGAGCAGAAAATTTCATAATTGAAAAGGAATTTATGATAGACATGGGCACTTCACATTCATATCTATGAAATACGAACCATGGCATCTGCCCAATTCCCACCCCTGAAACCAACTGGGCCACTCACCAGGCTCCTCGCAGCACTGGAGTTCTTTGGCATCAGCACAGCAATCCCAGCAGAAGCCTGGCCAGCCTTTCTCTGCCTCCCCAGGCAGCCAACCACTTCAGTATGGAGGCAAGACGGGGAGTTACCCCACTGAGTCAATGAGTGGTTTGGCTGCACAGGGAGGTGGGGAAAGGCTGGCTGGGCTCCTGCCAGGATTCCACCAGGCTCCTCGCAGCACTGGAGTTCTTTGGCATCAGCACAGCAATCCCAGCAGAAGCCTGGCCAGCCTTTCTCTGCCTCCCCAGGCAGCCAACCACTTCAGTATGGAGGCAAGACGGGGAGTTACCCCACTGAGTCAATGAGTGGTTTGGCTGCACAGGGAGGTGGGGAAAGGCTGGCTGGGCTCCTACCAGGATTGGTGCACCACCACCAAAGAAGGACCCCAGCACAACACAGAGTCCAATGAGTGGCCTAGCCAGTTCTGGGGCTGGAAATTGGGTGAATGCCAATTTATATTTCATATCCCTAGCTTTGAATACGAAGTACCCATGTTTAGTTTTTAACAAAGGTGATTTTATTTAGTGGATTTGTTTTCATGTGGACACTATTCCTGTTTCCTTCTCAAGGTACATACTGGAATAATGTTGTGCCTCGTGGCACTGCATCAGCCACAAAGTGGTCTTTTGTGTTGGCTTCTGCAGCTCCAACAAAAGAAGGTAAAATTTGTCTTGTGAGTTTATGATGCATTTCTGACAGGTTAATATAGGTCTTGTTCTTGGCAGACCCATGGATTTAGTTATTAATAATAAATAATAAAGCACAGTTTGGAAAATACTGTCAAGGTCTGCATTAGAAACCCAAATACATGTCAGACAGAAAAGAAACATAAAACAGAGGAATTTTTGCCTTGCATGATCATCTTTCATTTGAACATTGACGTAAGGTCGTAAAAAGAACAGTTTGTCCTAATCCGTCTTATAAAACTGTTCATTAACTTAGAAACTACATTTAAAGGTCATAGGTTATTATCTAAAATTATAGCTTTAAAATTTGCAGTGGATATTTGTGCTATCTTCTTTCCAAAATTAATTACAAAGATATTTGTTATGAAAAAGGCAGTAGTTCTTCTCAGTTTTGTAGAATTTTTTGTTTCTTTTTTAACATTGCTGTTACCATTTTATTTTAGAGCAGTGCCAGAGACTTCACATGCCTGTCTAACTGCATAGGCAAATTTATTTATTTATTTATTTATTTAATTTATATGCCGCCCACTCTACCCAAATAAAGGGGATATGGTAAAAGTTTGTGAAGTTATGCATAGCATAAGGTAAAGTGATTAGGATAAATCGTTCCCTCTCTCATAGTACTGGAATCCAGGGTTATCCACTAAAGCTGAATGGTAGGAAGGTCAGGAAAGAATAGAGAACAAAGTACTTCTTCATGTGGCTAAACTATGAATTTTGCTGTTGCGATGGCTGCCAGTATGGAGATTAAGACATTCATGGATGAGAAGACTATTGATGGCTATCAGTTATGATGACTATATATTATCCCAGTGATCACAGGCAGCATGTCATTCATTTGCCAAAGTATAACACCAGAAAAGAACTCTTCCAGTCAGGTCCCAGAGGTTGGCCACTGGGGGCAATGGGATGCCAGACTAAGCAGACCTTTGATCTGAATCAGCAGTAGTCTCCTTAAAGAGCAGTATTTGAGACTCAGCCTTCCATGTGGAAGGTAAGCATAAGACTGGTGTACCTTACAGATCTGTTCTTAAGTTTGTCAATACAGTATACGTGAGGTACACTAGAGAAACAGTAACCAGTTTTTTAAGTCTTGAAGTATAGTTTACTTCTATAAATGCACAACATGGAATAAACCAGTAACCAGAAAGAGCTTCTGAAATAATTTGATAATAAAGATTTTGTCCTTCCCCATAGGAAGCTTTCTGTGGCTATGCCAGAGTAACAAGGACTTGTTCTGTGTCAGTGATCAGAATCCACAATTCCATCCTTCAACTGTTCAGCTGCCGCCTGATGGCGAAATTGTATACTACTCAGCCTGCCAGGATGCCATATGGAGCCTGGATAGTCTGGGACAGGTCTTCATCAGAACACTTTCACCAACTTGCCCAGCTGGGATGCACTGGACCAAATTGGACCTCTCTCAGTTAGGTAAGGCCTCCATGTGTACAGTCTTGTTGCTGTTTTTTTCTTTTAAATTCCAGTTTAGAAGCAAGGAGGTGCATTTCCTCATCGTGATGGATGGATATTTAAACACAGACGTCTGGAGGTGTTACATATGCCTACTGCATAAAATGTAGGCAAAGTATTGCTGAATATGATGACTCCAGACAGTGTTCAGTTATGGTTGGTGAGCGGTTTCCATGTTGTTTTTCTCAGAGAAATGAATGGGGGAGACGATAGATGGGCAGGAACCGTTGAACTGGCAGTTTGTGCTGGTTCTTTTTTCGGCTGAACGTGTGTTCAGGGCTTCCCAGCCAAACCTCTTCTGGTGGGTGCCCACTCAGAGGCAGTGCCATGTCTTCTCTGCCCCGCCTCCTAGAAGTGCTGCCTCAGAGTGGGTGGTCACCAGAGGCGGCAGGACTGAGAAGCATCAAACATCTGTTCAGCAAAAAAGAAGAAGAAGAAGAAGAAGAAGAAGAAGAAGAAGAAGAAGAAAGAAAGAAAGAAAGAAAGAAAGAAAGAAAGAAAGAAAGAAAGAAAGACCCAACCCCCCCCCCCCGAACTGTCACAAACCATCAAAACAGCAATTTGTGCCCATCTCTAGTGGAGACTGTTGTTTTTCAGTTTTGGCATTTTTTGATTATAGCTGTTATTCACTGATGCTGCAGTTTTGCTCACAATCCTGCCATCTTCTGAAATCTAGATATCTCTACTTCTGCCTTGTGCTTAAGCAAATGTTTCAAGGTAGCAATATGGGGTGGGAGAAACCTTACTCTGAAATGAGTTTCCTGAGGAAAAGTATTAGCAGTTCTGCTCAGCTGGTCATGTGGGGAACAGATCTGTAAGTAACATCTTGTAGCATCCTTTATAGTAGGAGTGCTTTACTTAGAAAGTCAACTTTGTGAGAAGTTTGTGAGATCCAAGTGCTTTGTTACTGTAGTCTATTTGATTTGTTTAATTATACAGTGTATTTTTTTAAAAAAATCACTTCAGTTTTTTAATAAAAATACTTTTCCTAACATTAATGTTCCCATTTTTTCTGCATTTAAAAAATAAGCAGATTTTCAGAAAAGATTCTCCTTAGGAAAAAGGTTTTCTTGAGAGAATCATAAATTAAAGCTCACCTCTTATATTTACTTGGGGTAAAAGTTAAGGTACAAGCAATGTACATCAAATGTGTGTGTATTTTGGTCTGATGTGCTCATGTGGGGGGGTTGAATTTACTTCCTTTGGGGGCTGTACAGCTTCCACCACAACGAATTTAAACTGTTTTTTGGCTAACCAAATCCTTTCCGTGCTGTTCCTGCAGAAGAGATTGGGCAACAAACTGGATGATCACTTTCACATGGCTGAATTTTGTTAATGAAAGAAAAGTGATCGAAATTTTCAGTAAGAGAAATAATACTATCAATGTTACACACACTGTTTGACTTCTTGTTTAAAGGAATGCCTGTACAGCAGGGATGTGGCAACTTATAGCTCCATGGTATGTTTTGAAGCCATTACCATCTGTGCCAAACCAGAATTGCCTTCATGGCCAAAGCTGCACCTCTGTACAATTTTATTTCCCTCCATTGAAATATCCAGTGAATCTGAAAATGCAGAGTCTTAATGCCTAGCTTTGTGATTTCTTTGCCGTGGAAGCTGTGTATTCGTGCTCTGCTGGGTGAGACATGCAAACGTAATGCTGTCAAGACCAATGTACCAAGAAAAGCAGTCATCACCACTTTTTGTGTCACCATTGCAAACTACTCTAGCACAGAATTTGGAAAAGTTAATCTTTTGTACACTATTGTTTGTGGGAACCTGTCAGTTACAAAGCATCACAATGAATGATTATCTCCTTTTAAAAAAAGTTCTATTCAAAATCTAAGTGTGACCTGTGGAAAATAGTTCAGAGACAATTAACTTCTGTTTTAATGACATTCAGAAATGATTTGCTATACCAATACATTTTTAAACTTCAGTTTTCTGCATATCCAGCTCTTTGTGTATTTACACGGAGTCCTGGGTCTGAATATTCGGCATGATTAAGGTTGTGATGTTACATTTCAGAGTTTCTAAGCAAAGCCCGATGGGTTTTGACAAGGTGTCTGTGAGCAGATGATTTTGTTTCTCAATAAACAAGGAGCATTAGCATTCACAGAGGAGACATTCAAATTGGATTTTTTTTAAAAAAGAACAAAAAATGGTTACATAAGGAGTACCCTTTTGGATATCAGATTGTGCTGCACATGTAAATAAGTGCCCAGCAATGCAGAACAGGTGATATGTGACTCCTTGTTCAAAAGGCCCTGATGCTTATTTAGATCAAAACCAACAGCTGAGCCATTCAGTGTTGAAGTCACAGTGATCCAGCATGCTTTGTGCCATGAGGAGTAATGAGATTTTATTTTAACTAGCACTGCTGAATGTCAAACCCAGAGGAGCAGCAGAATTATGCTGAGGACTGTTTTCCCCGGCTGTGGCTATTTTCAGCTGGGCAGGTCTTACATAATAGTGCTAAAATAAAGACCAAATTCAAGAAACTGTAAAGGAATAAACAAGACAGTTTTGATACCGTACAGTTCTTTCTGCATTAATCCGGTTTCAACAGCCGTTCTCAAACATTATTTTATCAATTTATTTAATGCATTTTTATCCCGTTTTTCTTTTACAGAGTTTGGGATAGCATTTGTATATTTCTTCTTTACTGTCTTTGTGTCAGCTCACATGCAGATTCATGTACCTGTGCACAGCTCGCTTGAAGAACCTTTATGGCCAATGCACAAGAACAGGCACTCATGTATCCTCCTTTGTGTGGGAAAGTTTTGCCTCCATTCCATGGATACCCCATGGAATATCTTTTTTTTTCTGTCAGGGGCTACATTCTCTTAGGGTTACTCCAATCTGCCAAGCAGAGGGGGATTTTCAGGTGAAGCAGGGGCAGTGTATAGGAGGAGGATATTGTTGTCTGTCCAACAGCTGTGGGAGACCTGATGTCCTTTAGATCCTAGCCATTAATGATGTCCTGCATTAAAAGGTATTTCAGGGCTTCCCACTGGCAGGAAACAGAGGACACTATGCCTTTTTGTCCTTCTTGTGTAATATAGGATGAAGTTTCGAGTTTTGTAATTTCTGAAAACCAGTGACATAAATCCAACTGGAGTAAACTCATAGAATCAATAGGAGTGGCATATCCCTTGATTTACCATGTCCTGTTCATTTTGTTGGTTTATCCCAATTGGGATAAATGGTTGGGTTTTGCCCAATTAAACTGAATTCCTAGACTGGAATAAACAGTTTGAGTTATGGATTGTAGGGAACACTGCCTACAAATTGTAGTGCAAAATTGCACTGTCTACTCTGAGTAAATGGGTTGTTCCTGATCATTAATATGCATGGACCACTGCCCTTTTTTAAAAAGAGAGCACTATATCTGATAATAGGGTATCCTAGTCACCCTTCAGAACATTCTGTTTATCAGTGAGATTCACTTTGGCTGTAGGGGTTTGCTTATTTTTTAATGTTCACCATCTCATCAGAAAGCTATGATGACCTGCATTAGCTGACTTTTTGGCTGTTGCATCTGTGTGTAGTCACTGCTTTCCCTCCCTCCCTAGCATTTTTGATTTGGAGTGCAGAAATTCTGGACCTGATAATATATCTCAGTTGATAACCTCTAGGCCTTTTTTACACCTTTCTAGATATAAATAAAATGGTTGCAGTGTCTAGGAAAATGTACTGTGTTGGTAGGTGATTAACGAATAACATAAGAGAGTGATTTCACAGCTTTACATTTTCTGTTTTGAGCCCTAAGAAAAGCATCAAAGTTTGTTTGACTAACAGAATAGAAAAACACCTTGTTGATTATATAGCCCTCTTAGGAAATAGCTTCTGACTCGCATGGAGTACTAGAAATCAAAGCTTGGCTAACCTTGGAATATTTCTCCCATAGATCCATCTCTGATCCACTGTTTAATAGTAGCAGTTGGAATGTTAAACACTGAAATGTATTTATAGACCAAGCGTGTGAGCATGACTGGTTCTGAGGGAAAGTTCACTTGAGGTCATGTGAAAACTTGGATCTTTAATTCATATACGAAATTACTGTCCAGTTAGCACAGCATAGAGTTGCTCTCCCCAATTCTTTGAAAATTATCATTTCAGTTGCAACTGCTGTAGAATAAATTGAACTTGTTACTCTACAAGGACTCAAAAAACTTGCAAAGTGAAGGAAGCAATGCCCCCTTCTCTCCCAAGATGTAGATTTTAGTTTAGGGGCAGGCAACCTTTTGCCCTCCAGATGTTTTAAGTTGTTGCTCCTGCAGTTCCTGACTTTTAGTTAGTTTGACTGGGGTTTAGGGGAGTTGAGGTCCAAAACATCTGGAGGGTATCACATGACCTCAATTGCTGTGGCTCTGGAGGAGATAATTCAAATGGAAAGTCCCATTAGGTTCATTGAAGGGGACAGTTTAATGTGTGAATTCCTCTGCAGGCATAGAAATATCATTCATCAAAACAAGGGCAAAGAGCTCTCTATACTCTCAAAGGCCCTGTGTACTTTCTGGAAAGTCTGGATCTGGGCATATTCTACATTGGGTTAGGACACAATACTAGAGTGGGCTTATACTTTAATGTTGCACCTATAAAGTTGTACTCTAGATAGGAAACTTCTGCTTCTGCTTTCAACTAACTGCTTTTTGTCACTATCTGTAGACCCAGAGAAAATGCGATAATTGCTATTTGGCATAACAAGCAAACTTGAAACCACAGTTTCTGAATCTGGCTTGTTTACATAGTTAAAACTAACCATAGTTTTGGCTACTCCTATAATAGAAAAGCAGAGTTAGTTAGAAATGGAAACAAAAGCTTCTAGCCTTATTTATTAGAATCATAGAATAGTGAAGTTGGAAGTGGCCCATTAGGTCATAAAGTCCAACCCCTTGCTTGATGCAGGAATACAAATCAAAATATATCTACCAGGTAGTTGTCTAAGTTTCTTTTGAATATTTCTAGTGTTGGAGCACTCACCACTTCTTAAGGTAATTGGTTCCACTTATTTATCTGTTTATTGCACGTATGTGCTGCTTTTCTTCCAGAACTGGGATCTAAGGTGGATTACAAAACAGTTTAAATCAGAAGCATATTAAAATACCAAAAAAAAAAATCACAAACATTAAAACTGAATTAAATTCCAGTACTGTATATAATTAAAAGGCAATAAAATTCATTAAAATAAATTAAAAAATAACAATAAAATCATTAGTTATTAAATCAATGAAAAATTTTCA